TTTGGAAGACCTGGCTTCTAGCTGCTTCTAACTCTGTGACTTTGGGAAAGTGGGCCTCAAGCTCTTTTATTCCATTGACATGAAGAGATTGGACTATTTGAAATCTGATTCGGAACTCAGACATTGGAAGGGATCATAAAGCCCTCCAGGAAAAGAGTTTGGGAATGTTCTCCATTGCTGTCCCTTTTCCTCCAAAAATAACCTGGCTTGGAAGTCATTGTTCCAAAGGGAATTTGATTCCCCACAGAAATTGGAGACAAGGTAATGCAGTTAGAGAGGAACAGCTATATTTCTGCTTGAGTAACAAACCCACTAACAGATTCTGGCACGGATTTTGGAGACAAAGAGAATGAGTGTATGTACCTTAAGTGTGCCAGTTTCCTCACTCTCTCCCGGTAGACGATGCAACACTTTTAGTGATGCTGCTATTCTGGGATGTGTTCCTACTGATGCTAATACAGATGAAGAAGATGTGGTAGAGGGAAAGATGGTGGCAGAAGGAGTGGATAAAGAGGCAAAGTTGCCTGCTAAAAAGAAAAGAAAGAAGGGTTTACGGATTAAAGGGAAAAGGCGAAGAAAAAAACTGATCCTTGCAAAAAAGTTTAGTAAGGATTTGGGATCTGGGAGGCCTGTTGCAGATGCCCCTGCTTTGTTAGCTTCCAGCGCCCATGAGCAGGATGAAGAAGGTCTCTTTGAGAGCAATATAGAAAAACAGATCTATCTCCCTAGTACCAGAGCCAAGACCTCCATTGTCTGGCACTTCTTTCATGTTGACCCCCAGTATACCTGGCGGGCTATTTGTAACCTCTGTGAAAAAAGCGTTAGCAGGGGTAAACCAGGCAGCCATCTGGGAACATCTACTCTACAACGACACTTGCAGGCGAGGCATTCACCTCACTGGACCAGGGCCAACAAATTTGGAGTCACTAGTGGGGAGGAGGATTTTACCTTGGATGTGCCTTTATCTCCCTCTTCTGCTGGAAGCAATGGAAGCTTTGAATATATGTCTACTGATCCCTTAGATGAAAACAGAATGGGTAAGAAGCGCGATAAATCGGTATCTGATGCCCTGAGGGCAGAAAGAGGGAGATTTCTCATCAAAAGTAACATTGTCAAGCATGCCTTAATCCCCGGAACAAGAGCCAAGACATCTGCAGTTTGGAATTTTTTTTATACTGATCCTCAGCACATCTCAAGAGCTGTGTGTAACATATGTAAAAGAAGTGTGAGCCGGGGTAGGCCAGGTTCTCACTTAGGAACTTCAACACTTCAACGACACCTGCAGGCCACACATCCCATCCACTGGGCCGTTGCCAACAAAGACAGTGGTGCAGTTGGAAATGGATTAGATGAGGCTGAGACTGAGAGAAATGAGGATCTCTTAAGTGATCCTCTGCATGGAGAGAAGTCTACAGGCAGCCACGATTTAACAGCCGAGGACCTTAGTGACTCTGATTCAGATGAGCCTCCTGTGTTAGAGGTCGAAAATAGTCGAAGATCTGAGAGTCCTATTCCTGTTGCAGAACAAGACACTCTGACACATGCACAGGAGGGAGAAACAACATGCTCTGAAAATTCAGTCTCAAGTCAAATAAGTCAGGCAATTATTCAAATGATTGTGGAGGATATGCATCCTTACAACTACTTCTCAACTCCAGCCTTTCAGAGGTTCATGCAGATTGTGGCCCCTGACTATAGATTACCATCTGAGACTTACTTTTTCACGAAGGCCGTTCCTCAGTTATACGATTGGGTCAGAGAAAAAATTTTCTTGACTTTGGAGAATGTTCAAAGCCAAAAGATCCACCTGACCGTGGACATTTGGACCCATGACCCATCCACTGACTATTTCATTGTGACTGTGCACTGGGTTTCTTTGGAAACTGCACCTTCTTCCAGTAATGGCAGGATCCCCAATTTTAGAAAGTGGGCAGTGCTGTGTGTAACAGGGCTGGCCAAAGACTGTTTGATAACCAACATTTTACAAGAATTAAATGACCAGATTGGTCTGTGGCTTTCTCCTAATTTCCTCATTCCTAGCTTCATTGTTTCCGATAATTCCTCTAACGTGGTACATGCGATCAAAGATGGAGGTTTTACCCATGTGCCATGCTTCCTGCATTGTTTGAATATAGTCATTCAGGACTTTTTTTGTGAGCACAAAAGCATTGAGAATATGTTAGTAGCTGCTAGGAAAACCTGTCATCATTTCAGTCATTCGGTTAAGGCCCGTCAGATTCTGCAAGAGTTCCAGAATGATCATCAACTTCCATGGAAGAATTTGAAGCAGGATGAAACTGGCCATTGGATTTCTACCTTTTATATGTTAAAATGGCTCTTAGAGCATTGCTACTCAGTTCACCATAGTCTTGGTAGAGCGAGTGGAGTTGTGCTCACCTCCCTTCAGTGGACTCTTATGACTTACGTTTGTGATATTCTTAAGCCATTCGAGGAGGCCACCCAGAAAGTGAGTGTCAGGACCACAGGATTGAATCAGGTGCTACCCCTAATCCATCATCTGCTCCTTTCTCTGCAGAAACTCAGAGAAGATTTCCAAATAAGAGGTATTACTCAAGCACTCAATCTGGTGGACAGTTTATCTCTGAAACTTGAAACTGATACCCTGTTGAGTGCCATGCTCAAATCCAAGCCCTGTGTCTTAGCTGCTTTGTTAGACCCTTGTTTTAAAAACAGTTTGGAAGACTTTTTCCCTCAAGGTGCCGATTTAGAAACTTACAAGCAGATCCTTGCAGAAGAAGTTTGCAATTATATGGAATCTTCAGAGGTCTGCCATATTGCAACGTCAGATGCTGCTGGTCCCTCAGCCATCGGAGGAGCTGATTCATTTACCTCATCTCTAAGAGAAGGCGCCTCCAGTTCAGGGTCTTTTGATAGTTCAGCTGCAGATAATGTTGCCGTTGGAAGCAAAAGCTTCATGTTTCCTTCTGCCATAGCAGTAGTGGATGAATACTTCAAAGAGAAGTATTCAGAGATCTCAGGAGGTGGTGACCCTTTGATTTACTGGCAGAGGAAGGTGAGCATATGGCCAGCTTTGACCCAAGTTGCCATTCAATATCTAAGCTGCCCCATGTGTAGTTGGCAGTCTGAATGTATCTTTACTGCAAATAGCCAGTTTCATCCAAAACAGATTATGAGCCTGGACTTTGACAATATAGAACAGCTGATGTTTTTGAAAATGAACTTGAAAAATGTTAACTATGATTATTCTACGTTGGTTCTGAGCTGGGATCCTGGGAATGAAGTTATTCAAAGCAACGAAAAAGAAGTATTACAGTAATTTCTTTTTCATTTGAAATGGGCAACTTGTTGCTATGTTACTGTATTCTAATTGCTATGGTTATAGATGGTTATACTAATTATTCATACACAAATCTGGGGAAACCTGAAAACACAAAACGTGAAAACGTGCTGAAAATTCCTCGGAGGTAATAATGCTGACAAAGTGAAGATTAAAAATTTTATAGTAGCTCAGTGTAGCTGTCTCTTGAAATTTTGTTTATATCAATTAAGAGAGAAAAAATATTTTTTAACTTAAAAAATATAGTGCAGCATTGAAAGGCTTTAGGCTATTTCTGGCTGGTAGATTGAACATATAATTGGTTTTAAATAAAAATCTCTCCCATCGTGGGAGGTTTGATTGCTCTGAAACCAATGAAATTGAGGTAAAAAAGCATCCTAAGCGGTATTTTTTTTCCCCCTCTCTCCCATTTTTCTATTTCTTTAAAAACCCTGATCCATACTTAAAGCTTGGCAAAAACAAAACTCACAAAATTTGGTGATTTCTGATTGCCTCCTCATACTGGTCAGCTTTATCATTTCAACTTACTGAGTGTGATAGAGTTACCCTTTATATTTAGGATTGGATCTATGTAAAAAAAAAAAAAATCAGGAAAAAATTACTTTTAGTGTTTGAATTGCCTTTTTTAACCTTCAGAAAATAGTGTAAAACCAAAATAAAGATTGTATGGGTACTTTTTACAAATTCATGAACAAATGATATAATAAAAGGTTTACAAGAATTGAAAAAGCTTGACTAGGAAGTGGAATAAAAGCCCCAGGAGCATACTTTTGACACAGTGTCTATTTCCCAAAGAATGTTTCTCTTAATTCTCTAATCTTAATTAAATGTCTTTACATATACATGCTGAATGATCCATAATACTGTATTTTTAACTATGAGTTGGTTTTTTTGGCTTCTGATCTTAGCTAAACATAAGCAGTCAATATTTTCAGGTCTTAGGAACCATTGCCTCGCTGGTAAAATTAGAGAATTGATCTCCGTGATCTTTAAAGTCCCTTTCCACTCCTAAAGTATGTCTCTGTGGTTGAGTGGGAGGCCAGGAAATGATGACTTTTAGTAAAAGTCTATTACAGGTTTCAGACTGAATAACTAATGTAAGATCCCAATTTTTCCTTTTTTTCATTTTAGATTTGGGGATATTCCCTGCCCAAAAATTTCCTGGAAAATTGACTAGTATTAAGTGTGAGTAAAAGGTGTCCACTTTTTTTTAAGTTTTGATTTTAGTTTTGTCTTGGATAGTATTTGGCAAGATTTAGCCTAGAGATTATGTAGTATTTATTACATGAGAATCAAAATTGCTTTGTTACGGGGCTGGTTTCAAAATTTAGAACTCATTTCTATGTATCAAAATCGTTTTTTTTTTTTTTTGTTTTTTGGGTTTTTTGTTTTTTGGGTTTTTTGTTTTTAATTCTTAAATGGTAAATGTACCATTGTGAAATGAAATTTCAACTCCAAAAGTTTACCCTTTTACTAACTGGAGTAAGTGAATAGTTATAAAGTTTTTAGTTGTAGCCATCACTTGTTTAAAAAAAAAAAAAAAAATGAAACCAGGCTGCATAAGCAAGCCTTTGCAAGGCCAATATTGAATGTCACACCAGTGACTCTGGTGTTGCTATAAAAGAAGAAAAAGTCTTCCCTTAGATAGAAGCTTTCTGTATTTTGACAGTGCCAGTTCAGGATGGCTATAATGCTGCTCTGCCTTCTACAGCTTGCTGCACCACTCTGTAGTTACTCAATAACTATACGTTTCTATCTTTTTTGGTTAAACACTCCCTGAAGATGATAATGATGTACATACATCCGTATTATACACATTGATTCATGTGTAAGGATTTCTCTTCATGTTTATTCTGCGGGCTGGGCAGAATTTAGTGTAACGTTGATACACATCATGATACTTTGATATAAGAGTAAGTTCACTATTTTCATAATGAGCCCAAATCTGAAGGCTTTTGTAGTATATTTTAAAAGGGAAAACTTACCCAAATGTTTTATTTCTACACGTTTGTGTATATGTGTGTGTGTGTGTATAAGCCAGTTAGTATATATGTATATGTATATTATATACATAAAACACTTTATATTTTTTCATACAAGTATGCTTTTATTATACAGATAATAAAGATGGGGGAAGGTTTCTGTTTTTTTCTTAATAGGTGAAGAAATCTTGAAGACCAGAAATTGGATCTTATTGAATTTTGGTGTTCTTTTTCTTTTTTCTTTTTCTTCTTTCTTTTTAAATTATATTGTTCGGCTATGGAAGATGGATTTTTTTTTCAATATCCTTTGATTCTGAAGTTCATCTTTAAATGAACTCTCTTTTTGTTGGTTTTTATTTTTGTTTTTGTTTTTGTGGAGATAACTAAGCCTAGCTTGTCTCCAGTCTGACAAAGGTTATTCGAACGGACTTAATCTCCCAGTAGTTGGGAGATGTTTTAAAAACACGTCCTGTGTTTGAATTGTGGCTGAGAGGTTTCCTTGGCAATGTGAGGAGGAAAATTCTTTCTGCCCCATTATTATTAATTCATGGATTGAGTGTTGATTCGACCTACAGGCGTAATAGATTGGAACTCAGTGAAGACACAGAGGTTCCTGTTGAGAGCAACCAGCTAATGTAAGTGTGGAAATGGTTTTTTTTCTCATATAAAGAGTGAATATTTTTATAATTTAAGGCATAATTTTCCTGGATCAGTAAGAAATTAAAAAGCCATTGTCAAGATATTTTTTTCTTGTAATCACTTACAAGCTTTTGGTTTGGGGATGGAAACATTTCTTTCCCTTCCCCCTTTTTTTTGATAGTACATGCACTTTATTAAAAAAGGTAAAAACAGTATGCCAAGGTAGGATCTCCCTGTAATGATTCCATTTCCTCTTAAAGAAGTGTTATCCATAGTTTATCATGACATAGTTCCACATCCATGCACATATCTGTGCCGTATGTTTTTTTTTAATGACAAGGCAATACTACTTTATATGGAAGTACTGTAGTTTAATATCTCTCTCATTAATAGAGTTTTTGCCCTTAGAAATAAAAATGGCCCACATCCAATAACAGCCCTTTGTGAGCAATTTCCCTAGAACCAATTCTCAGATGTAAACTTGTAGGATTATTACAGTTCTCTAAAGAAGTTGTATTAGTTTATTGAGTAATTAATGATGTCTTTTGATTTGTAAAAGTTCTTAACATTATTTTTAGTAAAAATACTAATCTTTGGTCATGTTGCTGATTGATCTTCTGCTGTGCTCCTCATTTTATGTAGTCAGATGTATCAATTTTACCATGATTTTCAACATAGTATCATGCTAGGAAATGTTTTTTTTCCAACCAGAGCTGATTTTTTTAAAAAAAAGAGAGAGAACACTTTTTTCCAGTACTTGGATGGTTATGTATTTGAAATCAAAAATGTGATCTAGAACTACCCTCTGATCCAGGAGTCAGCTACTGGTATTTACCCAAAGAGCACAAAAATACTGATTGAAACAGATACATGTACCCTGATGTTCATTGCAGCATTATCTACAATAGCCAAATTATGGAAACAGCTCAGGTGTCCATCAGTTGATGAATAGATAAAGAAGACGTGGTATATATGCAATTAGCTGTAAGAAAGAATGAAATCTTGCCATTGCAATGACACGGGTGGAGCTAGAGAATAAAATGCTAAGTGAAATGAGTCAGAGAAAGATACATGATTTCATTCATGTGGAATTTAAGGAACAAAGGGGAAAAATGAGAGGGAGAAGCAAACCAAGAAACAGGCTCTTAACCATAGAGAAGCTTATTACGGTTACAAGAGGGGAGGCAAGTGGAGTGATGGGGATTAAGGAGTGTGCTCGTGATGAGCACCGGGTGTTGTATGAAAGTGTTGAATCACTACCGTATATACCTGAAACTTAATATTACACTGTTAGTTAACTAACTGGAATTTAAATAAAAAATTAAAAAGCAAACGTAATCTAGGGATTGAAGTTATATGACATTGTCTTTCCTTCCCATAAGCATGGTCGGTAAAGCTGTCAAACACTGCTTTTTGCTGAGCTCAGTTATGAATTCAGAATCTTCTTAGTATAGTACTTTAGTTAGTGAGCTGAAGCTTCTTTGCCATCTTTGCTTTTATTCTCCTAGAACCGTTTTGTATGAGGTACAGGTTTGTTTTTGTTTTTTTTTTTTTTTTTTTTCCAAATGGGAGGCCAGTTTTTTTGTTGTTAATTTCAAATGCTTTTTTCACAAATTGCATTTATTCATGGACTTGCTTAAATTCTGTTATCTTACACTCATTTGTTTGAGAATATTATACTTAAATGGTATATTTCACAGATCCTATTAGAATTTTTCTTTCTTAGCTATTCTTCTTAAGATTTATTTATTTGTTCATGAGAGAAAGAGACCGAGAGAGAGTGAGAGAGAGAGGCAGAGGCACAGGCACAGGCAGAGGGAGAAGCAGGCTCCTTGCAGGGAGCCCGATGTGGGACTCGATCCTGGCTCCCGGGGGATCACACCCTGAGCCGAAGGCAGGCACCCAACCACTGAGCCACCCAGGCATCCCTTTCTTAGCTAGATGATTTTACAGTCCATCAGGTTCCAATAATAAACTGTTTTCATTTTATGTATATATTATTTGGAGAAATAAACTGCTTTAAGTCTCTACTCCATTCTGTCTCCATTATCCAGGTCTTTTGTACCTTAGTAACTTCAGAGTTTTTCAGTTTTTAACTTAATGTAGGTTTTGTATACTTCTTCATTTTCTTCCTATATATTTTATGCCTTTATTATGAATGAGACTTTGTTACCAAGCTAACACATAGGGAATTTACCAATTTTTTAAAAATCCCTTATTAAATATTTTTTAGTTGATTTCTAGATTTGTAAGCATATCATCTCTGCAGGTATTAAATTTTTTGCCTCCTTTCTCATCTTAATACCTTTCCTAATAGCATGTGCTAAACTCTGCAACAGTGTTCTCAGATGGTGGAGACTAAGTGCTCTGTTTTTGTTTCCCTGGAATGAGGTCACCTCCAGTGTTTTACTATATTGCTTGTGCTGATAGTTTCTGATAATTGAGGGCATGTATGCTAAAGAGGTTCCTTTACCTATTTTAAAGCCATTTTAACTTCAAAAATACCATTTTAAATCCTTTTTTTAAAAAAAAAAAGTTTTCTCTTTTGAAATTTTAAGATAGCAGAGTTTTTGGTTTTTTTGCACCTCTTTACTCATTACGTTTATTAATGTAATGAGTTTTGTTGGTTTTTTTTTTTAATGTTAAACCACTTGGTCCTGGAATAAATGTTTTTTGATCATGTGATCTTGTTTTTTTTTAGTATACTGTGGTTCAGTTAACTTTATTTTGGATTTATCAGCTGTATCATAAATAAGATATCCAAAGCAGTTGTTTTAAAACTTTTTCAAAAAGCAGTGAAATAGTGAATTTCTTTTTCTCAACTTAGAATACTTCAATGTATTTCAAGAATACATGGAGCACATAGATAGTATACTTGTTGAGACTTTATGTCTAAAACTTCTTCCAAGTCCTGAAATCTTGAAATGTAGTTTGATTTTTTTTTTTTTTTTAAGATTTATTCATGGGGGATCCCTGGGTGGCGCAGCGGTTTGGCGCCTGCTTTGGCACGGTTTGGCGCCTGCTTTGAATCCCACGTCAGGCTCCCGGTGCATGGAGCCTGCTTCTCCCTCTGCCTGTGTCTCTGCCTCTCTCTCTCTCTCTCTCTCTCTGTGACTATCATAAGTAAATAAATAAAAAAAAGATTTATTCATGAGAGACACAGATAGGTAGAGACATAGGCAGAGGGAGAAACAGGCTCCAATGCTGGACTTGATCCCAGACCACGCCCTGTGCTGGAGGCTGACACTCAACCACTGAGCTACCCAGGCGTCCCTGAAATGTAGTTTGAAAGGCAAAATCTAAGGTCATAATCTTCCCTTTAAATTCTGGTGCATAGCATTTTGTCTTTTGGCATTTAGAGATTCAAATGATAAGTCCGATATCAAGTCCGATTTTCTTTCCTTTATCAGTCTACTTTTTCCTAGAAATCTCTGTGATTCTATCTTTACCCATTGGAATTTGAAATTTTCAGCATATCTCTGATATAGTAGAGATGTCCACGTTTTGTTTTGTTTTGTTTTGTTTTAAGCAATCTGTACACCCAACATGGGACTTGAACTCACATCTCAAGAGTTGCAACTGAGTCCACCAAAGGAGCCAGCCAGTGCCCCAGTAAAGATATCCTTAAAGAAATTTTCTGCCTGGCATTTGATGAACCTCCTTTAATTTAAAGACTCAAGTTTAGTCGGTTTAGGTAAAATTTGTTGTATTTTATTATTATCTCTACCAATTTCATTCCTTCCTTTTAGATTTTCCATTGTATAGAAATGGAATTTCCTGGAATTATTTTCATATTCTATACCTTTTCTCTTGTATTGACATCTTTCTGCATTCTGGGAAATATCCTGACAATATCTTGCAAGTCAGTTTTTGTGTTTTTCATCAGTTTATTCTGGTATCTATAAGTTGTATTGAAATCTCTTTTGGGTGGCTCAGTTAAGCAACTGACTTTTTTTTTTTTAATTGGAGTTCGATTTGCCAACACATAGTATAACACCCAGTGCTCATCCCATCAAGTGCCCCCCCTCAGTGCCCATCACCCAGTCACCCCATCCCCCTGCCCACCTCCCCTTCCACTACCCCTTGTTCATTTCCCAGAGTTAGGAATCTCACATTCTGTCACCCTCTCTGATATTTCTCACTCGTTTTCTCTTCTTTTCCCTTTAATAAATCCCTTTCACTATTTTTTATATTCCCCAAATGAATGAAATACAATGTTTGTCCTTCTCCGATTGACTTACTTTACTCAGCATAATACCCTCCAGTTCTATCCACGTCAAAGCAAATAGTGGGTATTCGTCATTTCTAACGGCTGAGTAATATTCCATTGTATATGTAGACCACATCTTTATCCATTCATCTTTCGATGGACACTGAGGCTCCTTCCACAGTTTGGCTATTGTGGACATTGCTGCTATAAACATTGGGGGTGCAGGTGTCTCGGCTTTTCACTGCATCTGTATTTTAGGGGTAAAAATCCCCAGTAGTAAACAACTGACTCATGATTTCAGCTCAGGTCATGATCTCCAGGTCCTAGGATCCAGCCCCACATTGGACTCTCTGCTCAGCAGGACATCTGCTTCTCTCCCTCTTCTCCCTCTGCCCCTCCTGTGCACACATGTGGGTGAGGGTGTTCTTTCCCTTTCTCTCTCTCAAATAAATCTTAAAATCTTAAAAAAAATTTGGGGAGAAGAGGTGAGAAATACAAGTTTTCCTATTTTTTGAACTTTGTTTTGTTTCCGCTCTTTTTCATAGCAGTATATTCACTTATATCAAGCTATGTCCTTTTGAGGTGGAAAGGGACAGAGGAAAAGGAAGAGAGAGGATATCTTTAAGCAGGCTTACACCCAACCTGGTACCCAACACCAGGCTTGATCTCACATCCCTGAGATCCTGACCTCAGCGGAAATCAAGAGTATAGACATTTAGGGCAGCCTGGGTGGCTCAGCGGTTTAGCGCCGCCTTTGGCCCAGGGCCTGATCCTAGAGACCCGGGATCGAGTCCCACGTCAGGCTCCCTGCATGGAGCCTGTTTATCCCTCTGCCTGTGTCTCTGCCTCTCTCCTCTCTGTGTTTCTCATGCATGAATAAATAAATAAATAATCTTAAAAAAAAAAAACAAACTATAGACATTTAACCGGCTGAGCCACCCAGATGCCTCTTCATACCTCTCATCCTGTATCCTTTAAAACCCAACTGAGAGGGATGCCTGGGTGGCTCAGCAGTTAATGCCTGCCTTCGAACCCAGGGCATGATCCTGGGGTCCTGAGATCGAGTCCCACGTTGGGCTCCCTGCATGGAGCCTGTTCTCCCTCTGTCTCTGCTTCTCTCTCTGTGTGTCTCTTCATAAATAAATAAATCTTTTTTAAAAAAATGAAGCTCAACTGAGAACATGACCATTTTATTTATTTTTAAAGATTTTATTTATTTATTCATGAGAGACACAGAGAGAGGCAGAGACATAGGCAGAGAGAGAAGCAGGCTCCATGAAGGGAGCCTGATGTGGGACCCGATCCCGGGACCCCAGGACTACGCCCTGAGCCAAAGGCAGATGCTTAACCACTGAGCCATCCAGGGATCCCAGAACATGACAATTTTAAAAGAATTTCTCCTTTTTTGTATATTAATTCAAGGATGGGATGGGAGAGGGCCACTCATATTGGTTTCCTGCTTTCACTGTTGAAAAGTATTCAGGTTTCCTCAGCATCATTGACTACTTTTGTTTCCCCTTTTAAAATTTAAGAAATAATGGGGGCACCTGGGTGACTCAGTTAAGTGGCTGCCTTTGGCTCAGGTCTTGGGACCCTGGGATTGAGCCTGTGTTGGGCTCCCTGCTCTGCTGCCAGAATGTTTCTCCCTCTGCCCCTCCCCGGCCACTTGTAGACTGGTGCGAGCATGCTTTCTCAAATAAAATCCTTTTTTAAAAAAAATTTAGGGGGGCACCTGCTTGGCTCAGTGGTTGAGTGTCTACTTTTGGCTCAGGTCATGATTCTGGGGTCTGGACGAGTCCCGTATCGGGCTCCCTGCAAGGAGTCTGCTTCTCCTTCTGCCTGTGTCTGTCTCTTTGTGTGTCTCTCATGAATAAATAAAATATTTTAAAAATTAAAATAAAAAAAAATTAGGGACGCCTAGCTGGCTCAGCGGTTGAGGGTCTGCATTCGGCTCAGGGTGTGATCCTGGGGTCTGGGAACGAGTCCCACATCGGGTTCCCTGCTAGGAGTCTGCTTCTCCCGCTGCCTATGCCTCTGCCTCTTTGTGTCTCTCATGAATAAATCTTTTTTTAAGATTTTTTTTATTTTTTAAAATTTTATTTATTCATGAGAGACAGAGAGAGAGAGAAAGGCAGAGACACAGGCAGAGGGAGAAGCAGGCTCCATGCAGGGAGTCTGACATGGGTCTCCATCCCGGGTCTCCAGGATCATGCCCTGGGCTGAAGGCGGTGCTAAACCGCTGAGCCACCCGGGCTGCCCTCATGAATAAATCTTAAAAAAAAGAAAGAAAGAAAGTAAAAGAAAGAGAAAAATGTACCAGTATTCATCTTGGTTTTGAGTCTTTGCAAACTTGTAGTAGTAGTGATTACTGCCTTTTTTTTTTTTTTTATGTCTAGGGAGAAGTATTTTGGTCATTTTCTTGAACAGCAGTTACATTCTTTTTTTCCCCCTAGATAAAGATACAAAAGTTCAGTGTGGGGACGCCTGGGTGGCTCAGCAGTTGAGTGTCTACCTTCAGCTCAGGGCGTGATCCCAGAGGTCCAGGATTGAGTCTCACATCGGACTTCCTGCATAGAGCCTGCTTCTCCCTCTGCCTGTGTCTCTGCCTCTCTCTCTCTCTCTCTCTCATGAATAAATAAATAAAATCTTTAAAAAAAAAAAAAAGTTCAGTGTGTAAAACAGATCCATGAAGTAACTGTTCTGTTGAGATGTAAGCAAAACTGTGTCCCCCTGCTCAGTCATGTGTCTTTGGGAATTTTCTTACCTCTCAGGGAATTTTGCAAAGCCTACTTTTTTTAATGCAAAACAACAACAATAAAGAAAGCCCTAACATGTAACTCATGCTGTTTTTTACTATTTCATAGGGTAGTACCATTGTTGGATTAGTAGGTTGGGAGTTCCTAAAACCAGCAACAGTTTCATATTAGCTCTTTGGGAGGTTGTTTTCGGGAATGAAATTGACCCCTAACCCCCCCCCCTTTTTTTAAGATTTTATTTATTTATTCATGAGAGACAGAGGAGAGGCAGAGACACAGGCAGAGGAAGAAGCAGGCTCCATGCAGAGAGCCCGATGTGGGACTCGATCCCAGTCTCCAGGATCACACCCTGGGCCTAAGGCGGCGCTAAACCACTGAGCCACCAGGCTGCTCTTTTTTTCCGTTTCTAAAAGATTTTTCTGTGTGAAACTTTTTCATTCTCCTCTTTTTTTAAAGCTTGCTTTTATTTATTTATTCATTCATTCATTCATTCATTCATTCATTCATTCATTCGTGAGATAGAGAAGCAGAGACATAGGTAGAGGGAGAAGCAGGCTCCTCACAGGGAGCCTGATTTGGGACTCTTATCCCCAGACCTGGGATCATGCCCTGAACCGAAGGCAGATGCTCAACCACTGAGCCACCCAGGTGTCCCTTTCATTCTCTTCTGATTAATACTTTTCCTTTTTGCATGTGTCATTATTTGAGTATCCCTTAGAGACTTGATCGTGTTTGAGGCAGTTTCTTAACTTGGTTTTGATGTATCCTCCATTACAGAATGCATTCCTTGTGTTTAGAGTCAGGGAAATCCTACTAGTGGACCAGTGAGGTGCTATTAAACGTCCAACCCTTATCCTATTCTGTAGTGTATCAGTGATGGGGCAAGGCAGTAAAGGCAAACTTGAATTATTTGTTTATTACTATTTTTTAAGATTTTGAGAGAGAGCATGAGCAAGGAAGATGGGCAAAGGGAGAAGCAGACTCCTCCCTGAGCAGGGAGCCTGACATAGGACTTGATTCTAGGACCCTGGGATCATGACCAGAGCTGAAGGCAGAGCTTAACCCACTGAGCCACCCAGGCGCCCCAGGCAGACAAATTTTTTATTATGTCTGTGTTGCATTGTATTAGAAAATTTAATGTTCTCAGCATAAAACAAAATAATAGCTGCCTATAATCCTACCGTCCACTCCGGTAGTAACTACTGCTAACATTTTGGTCTTGTTCTTCCAAACTTCTGTTGCTTCATCTTCACTAGCATTTAGTGGTGCCCGTGTTCTGGATTTTAGCCATTCTAAAAGGAATTTGCAATTCCTTAATGACACAATGTTGAGTATCTTATATGTTTATTTACCGTCTGTGTGACATCTTTGATAAGGTGTCTATTTAGATTTTTTTGCCCATTTCTTAATTGGTTTATTTTCTTATTGAGTTTTAAGTGTTCTTTGTATGTTTTGGATACCAGTCCTTTATGAGTTCTGTGTTTTGCAAAGATTTCCTCCCAGTCTTGTCTTTCTCTTAATAATGTCTCACCAGATGACCTTTAACATTCATATTTTCTAATAGTAGTTTCTTCTAGGCTTTCTCTGCCAAGTGCTTCAAAACTCTTCTAACCATGACCCGATTTCAAAGCTTTTCTATTTTTATATATTTTTTCAGCTGCACCCCATTTCCCAGTACTAAAATCTGTAATATATTGCATATTATCTCATTGCATGGATATACCATAAATTTTTTAAAACCCCAGTTTTTGAACATTTAGGTGTCTGGATGTATTTTCATATAGAAGCAAAGCAGTAGTGAACTTTGTTACATATTATTACCGCGTGTATTGGTTGAATGTCTCCTCAAGATAAATTCTAGAAATGAATTGCGAGTCAAAGTGTATTGCAAATTTTAAAGGTTTTAGTATGTGTTTAGTGGCAGACTCCTAATTCTTAACCCAGGGTGCTGACTTCAAGGCTGGTTTTTATTTTGGCCTGCTTTTCTTAGATTAGGATTATTAATTAGTGGGAGATACTCCGTTTTATTTCATTGATTTCAAGTTGTAGATCAGTGTTTCTGAAACTTGGTCTTTTGATGTTTGAGTTTGCAAGAAACTCTTTGCAAATTCTGGCATGTGCTTGTCATGTGTTTTTACTTTTGTAGAAGCTTTCTTGAACACTTCAGTGTGGGGGGCCAGGGTGTGGCAAGGCTTGGGGGTGGGGGGTATTGGTAGTTTTGTGTAAGCACTGTTTTATGGGAAGAATCTCAAGGGCGACTTCTGTTCCTTGTTATAGATTGGTGTGCAGTCTGTTGGCCATCTTCATTACATAAGCTAGATCTATAGATGTATTCAGGGATGATTGTTTCAGTTATCCTAGTGAGACCGTTTCCCCCACCCATTTATAATGAAATATAAATATTTTGAAATAAAAATGCTTGTAAAAATACTGGAACTTTTATTAGATGAAAAAATTAGTTGTCAGCAATGTAGATTCAGCAAATACCTTGTGTAAAATGACATAGTCCCATTCATGATCTAAGATGGAGATCATTTATGGAGTTAGTGGTTATTTCATCTTATGCTGAAGCCATTAACAAGCACCATGGAGAATACAAAAGAAGGGCATGGCTGTCCTTAATAAAAGTTTTACATTATAAATGAGAATGTATAATGTGCACTTAAGAATAAAATATTAATCAGGGTTCACAAAGCTTTGTATAGGCAAGTACATAATACAATTAAAATTTGGTTTTAACAGTGTGATCTTAGTTGAGATGCTTTGGAGGAAGAAGTTAGAATAATTAATCTGAAGTACTTTAATGTCTTCTCATTTTAGGATTGCATTTTAAAGACGATTTCTGTGATTGAGTTGTCTTTTGGAAGATTAAACCCATTTCAAAAGGACTTGGAGCTGGTCCTCGCCTTGAGGAAGCAGTGGCTTGTTTTCAGGAAGCCACTTTCTGATCTAAGGATCTACCCAGCATGCCTAATCAAGGAGAAGACTGCTATTTTTTTTTCTATTCTACATGTACCAAAGTAAGAATTAGCATTTTTAAAATCAGCTATTTCTACAGTTTCTCTAATAAGATTTGATAAGATTTTCCCACTATACTAAGTTTTTATGTTTTGTTATGCTCAACCATTTATCTGTTACTATTTTCTTAGTACTCCAGGAGAATTCATCATTTATCCTTTTTTTCCTCTTCATTTATGTTCTTCATATCCTACAAAAATGAAAAGGTTCACAACATATAGTCATCATTCACTGTTCTCTTATTGGTAATTAATAATCTGGTTTTTTTTTTAAAGATTTTATTTATTCATGATAGTCACAGAGAGAGAGAGAGAGAGAGGCAGAGAGAGAAGCAGGCTCCACGCAGGGAGCCCGACGCGGGACTCGATCCCGGGTCTCCAGGATCGCGCCCTGGGTCAAAGGCAGGCGCCAAACCGCTGCGCCACCCAGGGATCCCAATAATCTGTTAATAATTAATAAGTATCTATTATTAATTATCCCTGTTCAAGGTGCCTATGAAGCACTTTGGCCTCACTTGTAAACTTTAGTTTTATTATTTACTTTGTATTAAATGAATGGGTGGATTGTATTGTACTTCTAGGAACTGTCATGGGTTGAATTTGATTTTTTTCTTCACATTTCCTGCTGAGTAATAAAACCATTCTTCTAAATATGCTTTTTCAGCCATTTTTCCTTTTTCTCTATCAAAACTTCCTGTTTTTCTGCTTGATTCATTTGCAGCTCCATTCGGATTTATCCACTTTTCTGTTATTTTGTGACTAATTCTGTAAGTGTATATATTAGAAAAACTTCTGAAATCATCTCAGTGCTATGTTTAAAATGATCAGTGTTGAGCAAAGCTCTGAGCACATACAGCATTTTGTTTCAGATATTATCATTGTAGAAGTATATAGTGAAGCATCGAATTGTACTTAAATCCTAATCTATTAACTTTGTGATTTTCCATCGAAAACTAGTTACACAAGTCCAGATGTATGAAGTGGCTTTGAAGAACTGTAAAATATATTTGTAAAGAGTACCTCTTTAAATACTCCTACTTACCTTTTTCAGCCCATCTCTTGGCTTATGTCACTTACGTTGTGAAATCAAATGAAGGATGCTGTCATGAAATAGGCCATAGGAAAGGATAAATTTGTTGACCTCAGATTGTTATTGTCTTCCACCTCAGCTTTCTACCTTGTCTGTCTCTCCTTACTCCTTCATGTTTGTCTGGATGCCAGGAAACTGTTACAGTGCACACTTTACTTAGGATCTATTTTGGTAGTACAGTTCTTTTCTGTATTCTCTTTGTTTACAGGGTGACAGCTGCCCCTTCCGTCACTGTGAAGCTGCACTAGGAAATGAAACTGTTTGCACATTATGGCAAGAGGGGCGCTGTTTTCGACAGGTGTGCAGGTTTCGGCACATGGAGATTGATGTAAGTTTTCGGTTTCTGTTATCATAAGCAGCCTGGCATGATGGGCCAATAAAAAACATAGGGAGAAGGAGTGCCCAGGTGGCACAGTTAAGTGTCTGATTTTTTTATTTTGGCTCAGGTCATGATCCTCAGGGTTGTGAGATCAAGCCCTGAGTTGGGCTCTGCATGTTGAGCTCTGTGCTGGGCATGGAGCCTACTTAAGTCTCTCTATCCCTTTGCCCCTCCCCTTCCCACCACTCCCACATGTGCTTGCGCTCTGTCTCTCAAAAAAATACATATATGGGATCCCTGGGTGGCTCAGCGGTTTAGCGCCTGCCTTTGGCTCAGGGCGTGATCCTGGAGACCTGGAATTGAGTCCTGCATCAGGCTCCCTGCATGGAGCCTGCTTCTTCCTCTGCCTGTGTCTCTACCTCTCTCTCTGTGTCTATGAATAAATAAATAAAATATTTAAAAAATAATAATAGATAATGCTTAATATTTTGGTATCTTGGAGTATGAGTTGATATTTTCTGGGAGCTAGTTTGGTAAAGTGTAAAAATCATATGTGTATCTTTGGGGAGCATTTCTATTTCTATGTGGTTTTAAACAGTCTCAAACTTAGAGAAACGCTGCAAGTACATTATAAAACATTTTCGAAGCCATTTGGGAGTGAACTACTGACATTTCCTGTCACCCCTAAATACATTTATGAGTTCCTACAAACAAGAAGAACATTCTCCTAGATAACCATAGTACAACCATCAAGAGTAGGAAACTAACACTAATCTATTACTTTCATGTAATCCTCAAATCCCATTCAAGTTTTGCTGCTGTACCACTTATGTCCTTTATTATAGAAGGAGCAAGATCAGAATGGAGTGTCACGTATGGTTTTCATTGCTTTCTCATTCTCCTTCAGTCTAAAACCGTTGCTCAGCTTTTTTTACTTTTCATTTGCCTTGACACTTTTAGTAGTTACAGGCCAGTTACTTTGTAGAACGTCCTTCATTGTGTGTTTGTCTTTTGTTTCCTCTTTACCAAGTTCAAGTCTGTACCTCTGGCAGGAATATCACAGTTCTTCTCAGTGCTTACTATTAGGTGGCACAATCAGACAATTTTAATTATCCCATCAATGGTGAGGTTAACTTTGATCGCTTCATTAAGGTGGTTTGTACCAAATTGCTTCACTATAAAGGTTTTGTCTTTATAGCTAATACTCATTTTGTGGAGAGGTACTTTGAGACCCTGTCATCCCATTTCTCACCAGATTTTCAGTTTTTTCCACTTATTTATATTTGTGTGAATTCAGTGTCCTCTTTTATTCAGTGTCTTGTACTCCATTACTATCATTTTTAATCCTCAGGTTGACCCAGATTTGCCCAGTAAGAGTTGTTCAAGTTGATTTTTGTGTCCTTTTAATGTTTTCATCCTTTGAATACCTTTTTGCGTTCTTGCTTGACAAGACTTTTCAGGCTCATCCTGTATTTTTCCTCCTCAAGTGCTGGAATCAGTCATTTCTCTAAGGAGCCCTGGATTCCTTTAGTGAAGAATGATCTATGTAGAAATAAGATTGGGCAGCTCCTGGAGTCTACTTTTTTATGTCTGTGCATTGAAAATCATAAGTTCACATAGATACGTTCAGTTCACCAGCACTACAGGGTTTAGTCTAGGCTGCTCCTTTTCTATACTTGTAACTCTCTTCTCCAAAGTGAGAAACTTGACTTTAATATGACTGGTCTTATCAGTCTTCTTAAGCCAATATGGTATTCACAGCCTCTTCCTTCCCCTCAGGCTCTGACATTGCACAGGAGGCTGCTCTTCCACAGGGACCTCTCTCTCATCTTGTTTTGGTTCCAACAGCCCTGTACCAGGCCTTCTCTCCTTGCTCCACCACCATGAGGACCTTGTCCTCATCATGCTTTGGCCCCACCATCCTACTCTGGATACCCCTCTCTCCCCATGAACACCCCTTTTACACCTTTGGACTCTGCTGCTCTGTGGGGACAGCCCTCCCATGTGAGATACTTACTTTTCTCATCCTGCTTATATTCTAGCTCTGTACCAGGTCCCTACTTGGGAAGACTCTGCCTTCCTTACCCAACTTAGTCATTGTTGCCTTTTCTAGGCTGACCTTCCATAAATATACATTCCTCATCCTACATTGGGAACTCTTCTGCACAGAAGCCTTGCTGACCCTGCTCAGGCTTCAACACTGTGCCAGGCCACCTTCCTACACAGATGTCCTCTTAACCCTTCATGGATTCTGATACCGTAGGCCAGTTCTACCTTGTCACCTGGTACCTTCCTCATTCCATCAGGCTCTAATGCCCTGATCTGGACCACATGTCCTTCCCTCTCCCAGCATGAATGCCCACTCTCATTTCTCAGCCTCACCTAATGCCCTTGGACAAATTGAGGAACATGGGGAAGTAAAGAAGAGGGACTGACTGCAGTTTGTATGCCTGGGCTCATAGAGCTACTTCAGGTGGGCTCCAGACTTATGGCCTCTTAACTGCATTATGTGCTGCCTATCTTCCAAATAGCAGGGAATTCACTGAATAAATTCAGAGAAATACTTTGCAGCCTTTGAAAATTCATGTTGTTATATTGTTGGCAGAGCATAAATTGTCACAACTCCCTAGAAGGTGTGTCTGGGTCTCTAAGAACATCTACATTTAGAGATTCTCTAGAACTCGTGGGACTCAGCACATAGTTATATATCATGTCTAAGATATATTACAGGGAGGGGCACCTGGGTGGCATAGTTTTGAGCGTCTGACTGGGTTTTGACTCTGGTGGTTGTCTCAGGGTTATGGATCAAGCCCCATGTCTGGCTTGAGATTCTCTCTCTCCTCCCTCCTGCTTTTGCTCACTCGTTCTCCCTCTCTCTAAAATAAATAAATGTAAAAAAATATGGGGAAATAACACTGATCATAAAAGAAAAAAAAAAAAAAAACATAGGCAGAGTCTACAGGAATCCATGGGTGGTTTCTTTTATGATATCCTTCCCACAGTGATTCACCCAGAGTGCACACTTCCCCCAGCAATGAAAATGCAGCACTACGTGTGGGATGTTTGTGCCTAGGGAAGCCAATTAGAGACTTAGCATCCAAGGTTTTTAATGGGGCTGATCAAGCAAGCACTCTCTACCTAACACATACCAAAACTCTACATTCCCAGAAGGATGACAGGTGTTAGCATAAGATGGATTATTTGCACAATCTAGGCCCCGTAATTAGCTAACTGACTAGGAACACCAAGGGCCAACTTTGCAAGTGGTGTACCTAAGGTAAGAGTCTTCAGGCCGCTTAGTTAATAAATAACTCTTTTCTTCACAGTCTTATTTGGCTGCATTTTTCGAAAATATTGTATGCTTTTTTTTTTTTAAGATTTTATTTATTCATGAGAGACTCAGAGAGGCAGAGGGAGAAACGGGCTCCACACAGGGAGCCCAATGAGAGACTCATTCCCTGGACCCAGGATCACGCCCCGATCCAAAAATAGATGCTCATAGATGCTCAGCCGCTGAGCCACCCAGGCATCCCTCATCTGTGTTCTTATGTGCAAAAGTAGATACATACGGGGATCCCTGGATGGCTCAGCGGTTTAGTGCCTGCTTTCGGCCCAGGGCGTGGTCCTGGAGTCCCAGGATCGAGTCCCACATCAGGCTTCCTGCGTGGAGCCTGCTTCTCTCTCTCTCTCTCTGCCTATGTCTCTGCCTCTCTCTGTGTGTGTCTCTCATGAATAAATAAATAAAATCTTTTAAAAAAAAAAAGTAGATACATACAGAATTACTCAGGGTAGCATAATTTGTAATAAAATATCTATAATCTTCATTTAAAGTAAGTTTGTTATATTCATACAGTGAAGTGCTGGGCAGCTGTTAACAATTTTTTAAAGGGGTAGGGATGCGTAGGTCAGTGGTTGAATGTCTGCCTTCGGCTCAGGGCGTGGTCCTAGAGTCCCAGGATCGAGTCCCACAAGGAGCCTGTTTCTTCCTCTGCCTGTATTTCTGCCTCTTTTTCTGTCTCATAAATAAATAAAATCTTGTTAAAAATAAATTTTATTTTTTATTATTATTTTTAAAGATTTTATTTATTTATTCATGAGACACACGCACACACACACAGAGGCACAGACACAGGCAGAGGGAGAAGCAGGCTCCATGCAGGGAGCCCAATGTGGGACTCGGTCCCGGGTCTCCAGGATCATACCCTGGGCTGAAGGCAGCGCTAAACCGCTGAGCCACCTGGGCTGCCCAAAAATAAATTTTTTTTAAAGGGAAACTTTACTGGATGGAAAGATCAGGATATATTGTCAGTGAAAAAGCAAGGGACAGAGTTAGGTGCATAATATGCAACCATTTGTGTAAAAGAAAGGGGGAGAAGAATTTGTTTTTCATCTACATGTGTATTTTTAAAATCTCTGGTAGCATAAAGGAGAAACTTGACAACAAGTGGCTGTCAGGGAGCAGTACAGGAAAGGAAAGAAGCTTTTTTACTGTAACCCCTTCTATGTGCAGTTGATTTTCATTATTCTGTGGGTTCCGTGTTTGCAAATTTTCCTACTCACTAAAATTTATTTGTAACCCCCCCCCCCAATCAGTACTTACAATGCTTTCATGGGCCATCTGCAGACATGCAGAGCACTGAAAAGTTTGAGTCACCTGACTTAGACACTCTTGGCTGAGGTGGGACAAGGTGATGCTCTGCCGCCTAGTTTCAGTAGTCATTCTGTAAACAAGTGTCCTTTTTGTAGTCTCTTTAAGGCCATCTTTTTTGCATTTTTGTCTTTTTTTGTTGGTGATTTTATCCTTTTTGTGGCTGATTAAAATGGCTCCCAGATGTGGCACTGAAATGCTGTGTGATGTTCATAAGTGCAAGAAAGCTCTTACGTGCCTTATGTAGAAAATACTCATATTAGATGAGCTTCATTCAGTGAGTTTATAATGCCCTTGGCCTTGAGTTCAGTGTTAATAAATATATTAAATGAAGTGTCTTTTTTTTTTTTAAGATTTTATTTATTTATTCAAGAGAGACACACACACAGAGAGAGAGAGCGAAAGAGAGAGAGGCAGGCTCCATGCAGGGAACCCGATGTGGGACTTGATCCCGGGACTCCAGGTGTGATACCCTGGGCTGAAAGCTTATGCTTAACTGCTGAGCCACCCAGGCTTCCCTAAATGAAGTGTCTTTAAACACAAACACAAATATAACCAGTTTACGTATTGATCGTTGCATGAAAATGTTGTGACAGAAACTTGCAGGAACCTGACTCTAATTCTGTATTTCCCTGAGGAGCAGAGGGATTCAGTATTGGCTAATTTAGTATTCATGGTGACTTCATAAACATAAGTACTTCAGATAATGAGAATCAGCTGTGTATCTTTGGACCATGTGCTGTATTACTTTTTAAACACTTAAAGAAATAATTGTATAGGAGAATGTTACTGTGGAAGGAGGTGTTGCCAAATGAAAATGTACACTTTTTTTTTAATTTGGGGGGAGGGGGAGACAGGCAGAGGGGGAAAGCAGGCTCCATGCAGGGAGCCCGATGCAGGATTCTATCCTGGGTCTCCAGGATCAGGTCCTGGGCTGAAGGCAGCACTAAACTGCTGAGCCACGCAGGCTGCCTGAAAATGTACACAATTATATGGAATACCTTTCTTTTAAGTCTATATACAGACACCTAATAATCTTTTTCTTTCTTTTCTCCTTCCTTCCTTCCTTCCTTCCTTCCTTCCTTCCTTCCTTCCTTCCTTCCTTCCTTCCTTCCCTTTCCTTTTTTCCTCTCCTTTTCTTCTTTTCTTTTCTCTTCTTTTTTTTTCCTTTCCATTCCTTTCTTTTCTTTTTTCTTCTTTTCTTTCCTCCACGCCCAACATGGGACTTGAATTCCTGACCCCAACTGAGATCAAGAGTCGCATGCTCTGCCAACCAAGCCAGCCAGGCACACCTCTAATTCTTGTTTTAAGTCTGAGGATGGCATGGCAGACATTTATTACCATTTTCCAAATGGTTTTCGTTGTGTATTACTTTTTATTTAGAAACAATCTAGTTAAGTGGATTTTTTTTTTTTTTTTATGATAGAGAGAGAGGCAGAGACACAGGCAGAGGGAGAAGCAGGCTCCATGCACTGGGAGCCCGACGTGGGATTCGATCCCGGGTCTCCAGGATCGCGCCCTGGGCCAAAGGCAGGCGCCAAACCGCTGCGCCACCCAGGGATCCCAAGTGGAATTTTTTTTAAAGGGGAAACTTCTGATAAAGAAAGATCAGGATATTTTGTCAGTGAAATATGACACTGACAATAAATGTCATGTGACTCCCACATATAGAGGATACAATTAAGTCATTCAGTAATTTGAAAACTGCTTCCAGGAAAGAAGTAAAAACTTAAGCAAAGACAGACCCAGGAACAAGAAAGATTGATATTAGATTCTGCCTTGAGGAAGGAGTAATTAAATAATTGTTGTAATTTCTATCTAAAAAACAATGGTAACTAGTAGTATACTTACCTTTTGGGTGTGCCAGGAAACTGATAAATTCTATCCAGTTCTTTGGAAGGTAAAGGAATTTGGTGTAGTTTTTAAAAATAGGTAATGATATATGTGGTAATAAATTCAGGACATAAATTTTGTGAATACCTTTGTACCAAACTGCCTTTCAGAGATGTTGAGCTAATTTACATTTCCATTATCAGTACATGGGACTGTATGGGTTCTTCCATGTCCCTAACAACCCAGCGTGCTATCAAATTTTTGACCTCTCAATATATAGTAGATTTTCATCTTTGCCCTTTTGGATACATTGAGGATCTTTTTGTAATAGTCATTGTTTTTGTTTCATATTTTCAGCTTCCTGAAGTAATGCTACTATTCTTTCCTAGAATTTTAAACCTAAAGTTGCTTATGATGAGAGATCTAGCATAATCCAGCAGATCCAAATCTGTCTTGCCCCTTTGTCCCTTGATTGTCACTGAGCACTCCCTCCAAGCTCATCACTGTCCTGACTAGTCTACTGTAGAGAAGTTTTGCCTGCTTTGATTTCCCCATCACACAGTGATGGACTCACACAGTGTGTACTCTCTCGTGTCTGGCTTCTTTCTGTACTGTCCTGTTAAGTGTAAGGATGGTTTTAATCCTTCTCAGTAGTAAGTAGCATGCTCTTGTACGAATAAACTACAGTGTATTTATCCATTCTGGTGTTGAGGTACAGTCGGGTTTCCATTTTGGAGCTGTTACACATAGTATTGTTTTAAACCGTTCTTTATACACATCTAACGTATATACTAGAACTAATGTATGTATTTCTGCTGTACATACGTCCTGTGATCCAGCAGTTTATTCTAGATGTGAGGATTTTTTTTTTTTCTTATTCCCCTTCATAAGAGTGAGGTAGCTTGGGAAGGAAAAATACCTTAGTGTGTTATTTGTGCCTGCCTTGAGAAGTCACGAAAGGGAAAATTTTCCTCAAAGCTGTGAGCTCTCAGTTTAAAATAATAACTGCAGTTAATTGAGTTCCTTCTATGTGTTAAGTGTTTCATATACATTATTTCATTTAATCCTCCTAAGAAACCAAGTAGATAGCTCCTGTTATTGCTATTTTACAGCTGAGGAAAGTAAGGCTTAGAGACATTAAATTGTCCAACATCACATGGCCAGTGAGTAGCATAATGTTATCTTGTGTTCCATAAACTTAACTAATGTATTGTCCTGCTTCTCTGAATTAAATATAGGCATTTAGGGGTTCCAAGATGAGGGCAGGGAGGAGGGAACAGCAGATGATCTACTTCCCTGCTCCCTTCTCCTTCAAGCGTGGAGTGGCACTTTGAGCAACCCATCTTCCTCCTCACAGTCAGCTCATGTGCCTCAGACTTCTGAAGCCTGAATGAACTTTTTTTTTAAGATTTTTAAAATTTGGGTGGCGCAGGGGTTTGGCGCCTGCCTTTGGCCCAGGGCGCGATCCTGGAGACCCGGGATCGAATCCCACATCGGGCTCCCGGTGCATGGAGCCTGCCTCTCCCTCTGCCTATGTCTCTGCCTCTCTCTCTGTGTGTGTGACTATCATAAAAAAAAAAAAAATTAAGATTTTTAAAATTTATTCATGAGAGAGACAGACAGGGGCATAGAGGTAGGCAGAGGGAGAAGCAGGCTCACCGCGGGGAACCCAATGCAGGACTCTATCCCAGGACCCCCAGGATCATGAGCTGAGCTAAAGGCAGATGCTCAACTACTGAGCCACCCAGGTGCTCCCTGACTGACCTTTATTCAGAAAACAAGTGACCAAATTAATACAGGTCACACCTAATTTTTTATTTGAAAATAATGGTTTTTTTTGTTCTTATAGAAAAAACGTAGTGAAATTCCTTGTTACTGGGAAAATCAGCCAATGGGATGTCAGAAACTAAACTGCGCTTTCCATCACAACAGAGGACGTTACGTTGATGGCCTTTTCCTACCTCCAAGCAAAAGTGAGATGTGTTTTTGGTTTTAAAAGGATAGTTACTATTTACTGATACCTATTACGTACACTGTACAGAGTATATTACATACATTGCCTTTAGTCTTGCAAAAGAGCAGTTTTATTTCTACTTTATAGGTGAGGGAACTGAACTTTTCATTAAGGTAAAGTGACTTGTACATAGTCATGGTCATAAACCAGTAATATCACAATCAGGATTAAAACTTTGTTACCGAAAGCCATACTGCCTCCCAAATGTTTCTTGGTGTGACACTTTAGATTGCTATAGCTTCATTTCCTATTTTCTTACCAGACCCAGTGAGTTTTCCAGAAGAAACTGGATTCTCCAGATCGGGGTTTGGTAAATGTGGTCCTCCACCTGTTTTATAAAATAAAGTTTTATTGGAAGGAAGCCATATCCATTCATTCACATATTTTCTATGGCCAAATTTTGTGCTTCTGGTATAGAGTTGAGACACAGAGGTCTACAAACCCTAAAGTACTTACTGTTCCCTTTACAGAAAGTTTGCTAACCATGCTCTAGGCTATATCTAAAATAAAATTTATACTCTCCCCAAAACTAGTTTTTATTTCCAAATATCCTTTCACTTTTCCGACCGGAAGGATTAGCCACTTAAAAGCCACATCTTCTGTGATTAAAATGTGATGGCTACACATATTCTCCTTTCTATTTAAGAGAAAATAGTGGGCTTGCTCCTCTCTGATTTAGTTCAGAAGTGTTATCTGCCCTTTTAACAACTACTTTTTTGCTGAAGGAAAAGCCTCTGAATTTCAATATTAAAATTAAATGTCTAGAACTTGCAAATAATTTTATGCATCTAGCCTCCAGACTATTCTGTGTTTTGAACACCTGTTTTGAGTGTGTTTATGTACAGTGAAGAGTTACTAGCTAAAAGCCATTTTTTTTCCCTCCCTGGGAGTTTAGAACCTAATTGTGAAAATGGGGAAATCAGGTAAAAAGGCATAAGTGGTCATAAGGAAAATGCACCAAACTTAGAGATTTTTGATGAATTGGGACTTTATCTTCTCTTTTTAATTTATGACTGATGTTGTATGTCTAGCTGTGTTGCCCACTGTGCCTGAGTCACCAGAAGAGGAAGTGAAGGCTAACCAGCTCACGGTTCAACAGAACAAATTGTCTGTCCAGTCCAATCCCTCCCCTCAGTTGCGAAGTGTTATGAAAGTAGAAAGTTCAGAAAATGTTCCTAGCCCAACCCATCCACCAGTTGTAATCAATGCTGCAGATGATGATGAAGATGATGATGGTAAGTTTTAGCTCTTTAAGGCAAATAAATGATCACGGTCACTCAGTGAATTGGAATAAGGATTAAAGCTCTAAGCCTGCTGTCAATTGTAAATTTGCCTCTCGTGTCGATACGTAGATCAGTTTTCTGAGGAAGGTGATGAAACCAAGACACCCATCCTGCAACCACCTCCCGAAGTTCATAATGGATTACGGACAGCCTCTGCCCGGAAACCTGGGGTCAATTTGAAGCAAGGTAAGAAGAGGCTATATTGATGCTGTTTCCTGCTCATAAGTCTGAAAGTATTGTTGAATGTGCCCAAACTATTTTAAATACCTTTGAAATTTAGATCACGATCACCACCACCTCTGTCCTCTGACCCCACTGTACACACACCCATACTGACACTGCTTTCTCTTACTCAGAAAACATTTGAGTGCTTGCTGTGTACAATAAAATGCAAAAGGAGTGAAGTGTTAGTTCCTCATGTGATTTCTATTTGGGTTTCTCAGGTGAATGTTTGAATTTTGGAATAAAAACTCTTGAGGAAATTAAGTCAAAAAAAATGAAGGAAAAATCCAAGAAGCAAGGCGGTAAGTTATTAGTTTTGACATGGCTGGTTGAATTTTTCTGGAGGAGAGTAACAGGGACATTGCTGATAATAAGGAAACTTAGCAGCCAAAATGGGCACGTAGATTTTGACTTCTTTGGCTTGTTTGAAGTAAAACACGGACTTATTTATGCTAGCACTGCTTTTTTAGTACTTGAAAGAACTGCTTTATCTTCAGAAATACAGCTCCAAAGAATGACATCTAGAAATCATATCGAGGGGCACCTGGGTAGCTCAGTGGTTGAGCATCTATCTGCCTTTGGCTCAGATGCTCTTGGATCTTGGGATCGAGTCCAGCACAGGCTCCCTTTAGGGAGCCTGCTTCTCCCTCCTGCCTATGTTTCTGCCTCTCTCTGTGTGCCTTATGAATAGTCTTTAAAAAAATCATATTAAGAGAGGAAAAACTTTATAGTAGATGAATTCTTCTTAGGAGCTGCCACAATTTTCTTCTAGAGCTTGCCTCAGCCTGGTCAGTTTGTATTTCCAATCCTAAAAATTACAGATAACCGTGTGAAATAAAATATTTAGAAAGCATCACATGGTTGGTTTTAGAGTACTCTTGTTAATACTTGTTCTGTAGGGACTTGGGAGTTGTGTTTCACAGGTGATTGAATATAGATTTTTTTTTTTAACATTTTATTTGTTTACTTGACAGAGGGAGTATAAGCATGGGTAGTCGCAGGCAGAGGGAGAGGGAGAAGCAGACTCCCTGCTGAGCAGAGAGCCTGGTGTGGGGCTCAATCCCAGGACCCTGGGATCATGTCTCAAGCGGAAGGTAGACACTCAACTGACTAAGCTACCTAGGCTCCCCTGAATATAGATTTTTAAAAGGTTGAATTGACACACTTGGTGGCTGGTGTGCTTCTGAGGTTAATTTTAGAATGTTAGTCTTCTTGGTAAATAAAAAATAGATTGAGTGCCCAGGTTACTGAAAACAATTTATATTTTACCTTGTATACAAAGCAAGGTAACTTAAGCAGTTAAGAAATAGGGATTATCTCCTCTCTCCCACCTCACCCCAATTCACTATGGGCAAGTAGGAACAGAAAGATTGGCTTGTAGTTATCTAGTGGTCTGTATTGAACTTGTCACAAAAACAAAATTTCTTGGCTTATTATGATAGCTTTACTTTCCATAAATTATTTGCTGTTCTTTGACTTGCTTTTATTCAGAAGGTTCTTCTGGAGTTTCCAGTCTTTTACTCCAACCTCAGCCCATTCCAGGTCCTGAAAAAGAGAATGTCCGGACTGTAGTGAGAACAGTAACTCTTTCCAGCAAACAAGGTGAGGTATGGATAGGGCTAGGTTGAGAGTTGTCAGGCTACAACTTCTAAATAACTGGGAGAGCAAAGTTCTTGGGTATAGTTTACCTTTGATGGATTTGCAGGAAGACTTTAGTATATTTGGTCAGATACAAGGATGAAAAGAAAAACTTAAAAAAGAAAACTAGTGCATTTGACTCTTAAAAGGTTGAAATTCTTGCTAAAGCAGCTCTCACATTTATGTATATTTAATTTTTACATTTATTCTTTATCTGTATCCGTTTGACAAATTTATTGACTGCCCATTGTGGATAAAGAACTCTAATCCACTCTTTAAGTTACAGGAAAATGTAAGCCTTTTCCCTTAGTAGTTTTAAACCTGGTAAAAGAAATATGACACTAGTAACTGTATACATATACATTTAAATGTGCTGTTCAAACAGCAAAGAATTAGAGGAAAGAGAGCTCACCTTTTGCTGGTTATCAGAGTTCTACATGAGAGTTGGCAGTGGAGTAGTGTGTGACTTCATTTAGCATATCGAAGTACACAAGCAAAAAAAGTATGGCTTGGGTTTCAAGATCAGTTGATTAGAACACACCTGTCTTCATACACTTGGCTACTGTCAATAATTAGGACTGTGTCATTGATTCCTTTTGGGCTGTGCATTTGGCTATTTAAATTATTACTTAATAGGTTAAATCCCCCCCCCCCCCGCCCCATGTGACTACTGAGATCGGATTTTCAAGAGACTTTCTGGGTGGGCTCATGATATCAGAGCATACTTTATACTCATTATTAGTTAGCAAATACAGAAAAATTGACTAATAGTAGAGAAATTCTTTTTTTGCCATTTCAGGAGAAGAACCCTTGGTAAGATTGAGTCTCACCGAGAGACTGGGAAAACGAAAATTTTCAGGTGAGATGAATTTTGTGCAGATCTTTTGTTTTCTGTTTGTGTATTAATATGATATGTTCTCCAAAACTGCCTTTATACAAATGTCATGTTGATACCAATTTACTTGCTGGTCCCCCTTGAATTCTTGGCTAGAAGAACTTACACAATTTGTTTTTCACATGTGTATTATACCTTTTATTGATATACATAAATTTATAGTGTTAGAATTTAGGTAGATTATAATAATCAACTCTTTAGAAGGTACTACGTTGAAAAAACAGTAAAGAAAATATCTTTGTCTCTTTGAGATTTGAGGTTTTAGAGGGAAAAAAGTTTCCAGTTAATATAAATTTGGTCCCTGAGTTTATTAATTCTATTTTATGTTTAGGGAAGTGTTTCATCATATTATTGAGTTGCCATGTACATACTCTAATTGTGTCTGTCTCAAAAGGATTTTGAAAATCTTCTCTGATTCCAGCTATTCCTCTATGCTCTTTTTAAAATGTGTTTGCAAATATGAAATCCTTTGTGTTTTCTTTGATACCATTTTCACTGCCTGAGAAATTTTAGGCAAAACATCCATCTTTTTAATGTCAGCATACATGTAAACTTTGTAATTTTTGGCCTCACATTTAAATTATGAATAATAGTAGAGAGAAAATCATTACCCTGTGTAGGGTCTTTCATGTTTTTAATGGGACCCTGCAAAGTTATTTGTATGTTCAGTCAAGCAGTCTGACAAACCATTTTTAACTTGTGACATGTACTATTCAATTCATATATAATGGTTATAAGTCAGTAAACTTGGTAAGGTCTTGGCTCTATCACTAATTGGTAACTTGAGTAAGAATATTTATAACCTTAGATTCCTACTTTGATAAATGTTGATTCTACATTCTACTTTTTGTCCCTTACTTCTTTTTTCTGGGACATTTTTATTTTCTAGCATTGAATTCTAAGGATGCTAGTGAATGAACACACCATATAAATGCAGAAAACTGACAGTTATTCTGTGTTACCGGTTTTGCTCATATTTCTTGACCTTGCTAAAGTTTGGTTTGAACTCTTAAGCTAAGTTCTCTCTGTTTGTAGGTGGCGACAGCGATCCTCCATTAAAGCGTAGCCTTGCACAGAGATTAGGGAAGAAAGTAGAAGCTACAGAAACTAACACTGACAAAGCACCAAAGAAAGGTAACTTTTTTCTAATAATGTTGTGTGTGTGTGTGTGTGTGTGTGTAATCATGACACTTGTCTCTTGTAATACTAACAGGTAACGATTTGCCATTCCTTTTTGTTCAGGTAAATTAGATTGTCTCATGTCTGTATTATTCAACAAACATTTGAATATTTACTCTGCTAGATTCTAGGTAGACACCGCTGCATAAAATAAATACATCACAGTCCTCGGGAGCTTTTATAGTATAATGGCAGATAGGAATGCTTATATATCTGTGGTAAAATCTGTGACAGGGTGCTCGCTTCGGCAGCACATATACTAAAATCTGTGACAGGAAAAGTACACAGTGATATGGGAGCACACAAGAAGGGCTCCTCTTTTACCATCTGTCAGGGAAAGGTTCCCCGGGGGGAATCATGTTGAAGCCTAGACCTAAAACATGAGTTAGGAATTAGGCAGGTGAAGTTGAAGGACCAGAAGCTATGCCGAGGCAGAGAGAATAATCTTTGCAAGGGCACAGAGCTAAGAAAACAGGACATATTCAAGGGATTGATTATGGTTGAAACAAACAGAATTGGGGGTAAAGAGCATGTTGACTGGAGAGGAGGAAGGAAATAGATCATGCAGAGCCTTTTAAGCCATGGAAGAGAGTTTGGGTTTAGTAGCAAACCATGGGATGGTTATTAACAAGGATCAAAAGCTCAGATTTGCATCATAGAACCATCATCCTCTTGGTTTCAGCTCAGGCATGATCTCATGGTTGTGGGATTGAGCCCTATGTCACACTCTGTGCTCAGTGCAGAGTCTGCTTCAAGTTCTCACTCTCTCTTCCTATCACTCATTCTTTCATATAAATAAATAAAAGCTTTAAAAATTTTTTTTCTAAATAGAGCCATCTCCCTGCCTAAAATATGGAGAAAGATTAGAAGGGGACAAGGGTGCTGTCCAGGATATGAGTTACCAGCCTTTTGAAATAATGTACATGAGAGAAGTTAGTGGCCTAGTTAGTGTTCTAAAAATTGGTATGAGAGATGAGAGATAAATTGAGAGAGATTTGGGAGTTAGAATGATTATGTAGCTGAAGCTCTATTTATAGAAAGAAGTCCAGGTTGAAATTTTTTCCTTTTATGACTTGGCAGTGAAAACACTGGTGTTAATCACTAAATGAATGGGTGGGACTTTTTTCCTTTTTATTGTGTATAATTTTAACTCTTCTTGAAGATGAAAAACTAACTTCCACTTTTCCTCTAGCCCAGGAGGCTGTGATGAGTAGATGTTTTTGTTTAGGATCTTTCTTGCATTCTCAGAGCACACAAGTTAATCTTTCTTTGCAGTCATAACCTTTTTTTCTTTGCCTGTTGATCATATTTAAAAATTTCAGAAAAATTTATATTAAAATTTTTTGCTTTGCCTATTGATACTAAATTTCTCATTAAAATTGTAATAATTTTACATTAAATTTTTTCATAAAACACGTTTTATTTTTTAACATTAAAAACATTAACAGGGCAGCCCAGGTGGCTCAGCATTTTAGCGCAGCCTTCAGTCCAGGGCCTGATCCTGGAGACCCGGGTTCGAGTCCCACGTCGGGCTCCCTGCATGGAGCCTGCTTCTCCCTCTGCCTGTGTCTCTGCCTCTATCATGAATAAATAAATCAAATATTTAAAAAAAAAATTAACTTTTTTTTTTAAGACTTTATTTATTCATGAGAGACACAGAGAGAGGCAGAGACATAGGCAGAGAGAGTAGCAGGCTTCATGCAGGGAGTCCAACACAGGACTCGATCCCAGGTCTCCCTGGGCCAAAGGCAGGCGCCCAACCACTGAGCCACCCAGGTGTCCCAATAAAACACATTTTAAATAGATTGGGGGGGCTTTTGATGCCAATGAGATTATAGAAGTTTTACACTAACCATTATTTCCCTGAGTTCAATAGTTTTTGCTTTTCAGATCTAAAAAAAGATTATTTTTAAGCCTTCCAAAGTGCTGTAGGTAATCCATGATTCTCATAGAAGATGTTCTGTGGGAAAGAAAAATGTTAAGCATCTAAAGTATTTGCATTAGATGACATAAACCTAATTTTGTGAACTTTGCTTTTTTTTTTTAAGATTTTTATGTATTTTTTAAATTACTATTTTCATAGCAGATTTTTTTTATATTTATTTTTAAGACTTCATTCATTAAAGAGAGGGAGAGGGAGAGGAAGAGACACAGAGGGAGAAGCAGGCACCATGCAGGGAGCCTGATGTGGGACTCGATCCTGGGTCTCCAGGACCACACCCTGGGCTGAAGGCAGGCGCTAAACCGCTGCGCCACCCAGGGATCCCCTTTATGTATTTATTTGAGAGAGAGTGAGCAAGTGGGAAGGAGCACATCCACGAGCAGAGAGGAGGGACAGAGGGAGAGGGAGAAGCAGGCGGCTCCCCACTGAGCAAGGAGCTTGATGTAGGGCTCAATCCCAGGATCCTGGTTGCATGACCTGAGCTGAAGGCAGATGCTTAACCGACTGAACCACCCAGGCACCCCTTAATATGTGAACTTTGAAGAAAAAAAAGTCTCTTGTTTAATTTGGTTTTTAAAGTATATATATTTTTTACAGTTCATGTTTCTAAGTCTCTGAAGGAGCGATTAGGCATGTCAGCTGGTCCAAACAGTGAGGAGGCAGCAGGTAGGTAAAACCCTTCGGCCAGCTTCTTCTATTTTTTCCTTGCCATAACAATCTTTACTTTTTCACTCATTTATTTACTTATTGTGAGCTTGCTTACTTAGAGTTTGTGTTTTGGGGGTTTTATTTTATTTTTTTAAAGTAATTGATGACTCACTGGTATGAATTCTCTTCTTAAAAGATAGCAAAATGATCAGTTCACCATAGCCTTAGTAGAAAGCAACCAGAAACTACACAAATATCCAACAAAAAGAAATTCAGTTGCGGTTTGTATAGTCATATACAAAAATAATTACTGTCATAAGTCATATTTTGAACAGTCATGTGGAAAACTTCTCATATTGTATTGAGTGAAGAAAGGTTACAAAGAACACCTACTACTTTCGACCTTTGGATTTAGAATAAGAATTTTAAAAAAATAGAATAGGAATCTTAATTTTGTGAGGACGATGAAGTTTATTTTCTTACTACAGAAACTTACTCTCAGGAATAATATCCATATGTATGAGATGATTCCAGTTGTGTAAAGATAAAAAAGTATATGCCTGGGAAAAACACTGTAAAAAATACACCAAAATAATTTTCTTCTCTGTGTTCTGTACTCTTCTGTACTAATTTTCAAACCTTTTAAATTGCAAGATCTAACTACTATACAGTTTAAAGAATAGTATAATAAACCTGTACTCCATCCATGCAGCTCCTCTATACATCACTCTTCCTTCATTTTTCTTATTTACATTTTTTATTTAAATTCACTTTTAATGTTACTGCTTTTTCTTAGCACTTGGGTTTCCTGTGGTGGTTCTAAAGGTCTTGTTCCCAAATGGTCCTCTCCTGATTGAGAGAGACAAGTGAGGGCTGCCTGAGTGGGGAGGGCGTACTAAAATAAAAGGCAGCTTGTTTGGGTTGCAGGCTAGAAGGCTGGGGGCCCATACCATTGCCACAATAAGAAAGTTTTTTTCCTTCCTAGGCTTTCCCTTTTCCTCTTCTCCCCTGTTCTTTTCCTGCTTGGAATTTGCTCATCTTCTCCCTCCAGCCCCAACCTCCTAACTTACTCCCCTCCCCAGCAGATTTCTCCTCTCTTCAGAGAGCAGTTCCCAGAAGAAGGTCATGGCTGGTCCAACTACTCTGTAGGCCATCCTCACATTGCTACCCACTGTTGCTTTTCCTACTAGTTTGGCAGTTTTCTTTGGCACCCCTGGGAGGAATAGATCTCACTTCCTACAGATTCATTTGTTCTTTTTCTATTTTTCTGTAAATTCAGATAGCTGCTGTCTTATCTCAGAAGTCCCTCAAGATTTATGCTTTGCTAGTGGCAGCCTTGTTTTCCACTGCTGTTGCGGATTTATTCTATTTTTAATGTCTTTATTTTGATAGATTTTGGTGGAGCGGGGAACAAGGTTTTCATGTCACCATTTACACACTTCCTTGAAGGTAGTAATTTTGAGATCAGTCCACCTAATGGAAGAATTATTTAAAAAGCCCTAAGGAAGCAATTCACTACCTGTTTGAGTACTTCCCAGGTATAGGTACTATACTAAAATATTTCAGATAATTAAGTAAAGTATCTAGTATGGCTGGAAATGCAGGCAGTTGCAGTACTGTGGGAGCAGTGGACTGGAGGATGTCAGGTTCTAAAACCAAATTCAGTTACAATTAGGCAGCAAGAGAATGAGACTAGTAGGGCAAATTCTGTGTAAGAAGGAATAGAATGTTCAAAAGGTAAGAAGGTGAAAACGAACATGATGTGTGTTTACGGTTGTTAAAAGATATTTTATGTTTTGGATCTTTCATTAAAGGCTGTCATTCATGGGCACCTGGGTGGATCAGTCTGTTAAGCATCTGCCTTCGGCTCAGGTCATGATCCCAGGGTCCTGGGATCCAGCCACAGGTCAGGCTCCCTGCTCAGCAGGTCAGCGGGGAGTCTGCTACTCCTTCTCCTTCTGCCCCTTCCCACCACTCGTGCTCCATCCCTCTCTCTCAAATAAATAAAATCTTTAAAAAAAAAAAAAAAAACTGTCATCAAATATGTGTGTACAGTTTCCCTATTCTTCTCGTTTTTTCCCACATTACTTCATTATTTCTTTTAGCCTGTCAATAATGATGATGAGCCTATCTGTAAAGTGTGAAATTTGCTCTTTAAACAAACATAGAGGGCAGCCCAGGTGGCTCAGCAGTTTAGCACCGCCTTCAGCCCAGGGCTTGATCCTCAAGACCCAAGATCGAGTCCCACATCAGGCTACCTGCGTGGATCCTGCTTCCCTTCTCTGCCTGTGTCTCTGCCTCTCTTTGTCTCTGTCTCTTTCTCTGTGTGTGTGTCTTTCATGAATAAATAAATAAAATCTTAAAAAATTAAAGTAAAAAAATGTAAAGGGATACCTGGGTGGCTCAGCGGTTGAGCATCGGCCTTGGGCTCAGATTGTGATCCTATGGTCTCGGGATCAAGTCCTGCATCGGGCTCCCTGCCTGGAGCCTGCTTCTCCCTCTGCCTCTATCTCTGTCTCTCTGTCTCTCATGACATAAATAAATAAAATCTTTTTTAAAAAACAGATGTAGAATGACTAGTGTATCGTTAAAAATAGCTCTTCAGTGGCATGCCAATCTCTGGGCCTTTCCCATTTTCTTTCTGTCTTGTTACCTGCTTTACCTACTATTCATCCTTCAAATGTCACTGAAATATTACTTCCTCTGAAAAACTTCCCTTAACCAATTCCTGGACAAAGGTTGGGGTTCTTGCTGTATGCCCTTATATAGTAATATACTTTTTTGATCAAAGTTATTATTATTGGGGTGCCTAACTGGCTAGTAGGTAGGGCATGCAGTGCAGCTCTTGATCTCAGGGTCATGAGTTCAAGCCCCATTGGGCCTAGAGCTTATTTAAAAAAAAAAAAAAAAAACCTACTAAGTTATTATCATCATACTTCTGGATAGAACTCCTACAAGTTAGTAATCTTTGCCACTTAAGAGTTTTCCTTGAGGGCCATGACCTGCAACGTGCAAGTATTTCAGAACTGAAATTGAAACTTATATACTTTGTTCATTTTAATTACTGGCCTACATGATACCACTCAGGACTCTGCCCTGATCCAGGAATAGAGCGTAAGTTGTTAAGATGTGAACTCCAAATACAGTGACTTGTTTTTCCCCCCAAAAAACAGAGAGAGTCACTAAAGTTGGTGAGATCCATGTGAAGACATTGGAAGAAATTCTTCTTGAAAAAGCTAGTCAGAAACGTGGAGAATTGCAGCCTAAACTCAAGACAGAAGGACCTTCAAAAGTTGATGATTCCACCTTAGGAACAAGAAGCCCCTCCACTATCCGAATCAAAACCTTCTCTGAGGTCCTGGCTGAAAAGAAACATCGGCAGCAGGAAGCAGAGAGACAAAAAAGCAAAAAGGATGTAACTTGCATCAAGCTAAAGACCGATAGTGACATTAAAAAAACAGTGGTTTTGCCATCTATAGCTACCAGCAAAGGACAATCAGAGGAGCCCACAGGTAGAACAAAGTCTATGCAGGACGTGCACATCAAGACACTGGAGGAAATTAAGCAGGAGAAAGCACTGCGGGGACAGCAGGGCACTGAGAGCAGCACCAGCTCCCAGCCTCAGCCTGAGGCCATCCCAGGGCCAAGGAGGCTTCTCCGAATCACAAAAAAAACAGGTAACAGGGATCCCTGGGTGGCGCAGCGGTTTAGCGCCTGCCTTTGGCCCAGGGCGTGATCCTGGGAGTCCCCGGATCAAGTCCCACATCAGGCTCCCTGCATGGAGCCTGCTTTTCCCTCTGCCTGTGTCTCTGCCTCTTTCTCCCCCTATGTCTATCATGAATAAATAAATAAAATCTTAAAAAAAAAAATGTAACACCACAGTTCAGTCTATAGTACCATTTCCCCAAATCGTATTCCAAAGGACAGTGTTCCACAGGATATTTGTAGGAGTTCTTTAGTCTGACATATTTGTGAGCACTTTAGTCAGATAACTTTGAAAACCACTGGATCAAATGAAGCTACGTTGTTTCTTTACAGGAGTGCTGTATAGACCTTTGATATTGTGATGTGCATTTTGAAACTTTATGAGGATGAATGGACTTCATCTATAATTTTATTTGTCCTATCTTTATTTTCATTAAGAGTTTTGCTTTATTTTTTTTTTTTTAAAGATTTTCTTTATTTATTCATGAGAGAAACACAGAGAGAGAGAGAGAGAGAGAGAGAGAGGCACAGACACAGGCAGAGGGAGAAGCAGGCTCCACGCAGGGAGCCCAATGTGGGACTCGATCCCGGGTTTCCAGGATCACACCCTGGGCCAAAGGCAGGCGCCAAACCGCTGAGCCACCAGGGCTGCCCAAGAGATTTGCTTAAAAAAAAGAGTTTTGCTTTAATCTATTCCTAAAGTTGCAGCTTAAATGAAATAGTTAATGGTGTGTTTATTGTGTGAATATAGGTATAAAAGAAGAGAAGAAACTTCAAGAAGGCAGTGAAGTTGCTTCTCAGAGCAGTGTTGCTAGAACGGAAGCTAAAGAGGTGAGTTTATTTAAGACCATTTCATAGTTCATGGCAAGCCAAAGTCCAGATGAATGATTAAATATGCCATTTAGTTTTAGCATAATAAATTTCTATTTAACAGTTCACTGATAAATTAGGTAAACAATCTTTCACTATACTTAAACTTTTCTAGGAGAGTTTTCTGTACTTCTGTGTATAGCAATCTTCTCCTTCTCCCCCCCCCTTTTTTTTAAGATTTTATTTATTTATTCATAAGAGACAGAGAGAAGCAGAGTCATATTTTTTTTTTAATTTTTTTATTTATTTATGATAGTTACACACACAGAGAGAGAGAGAGAGAGGCAGAGACACAGGCAGAGGGAGAAGCAGGCTCCATGCACCGGGAGCCCGACGTGGGATTCGATCCCGGGTCTCCAGGATCGCGCCCTGGGCCAAAGGCAGGCGCCAAACCGCTGCGCCACCCAGGGATCCCGAGAAGCAGAGTCACAACAGAGAGAGAAGCAGGCTTCTCACAGGGAGCCTGATGTGAAATTCAGTCCCAGGACCTCAGGATCATGACCTGAACCAAAGGCAGATGCTCAACCACTGAGCCACCTAGGTGCCCCTGTTCTCTGCTCCCTTAAAAGTTGTTTTTAATTGGCCACTCAATGTTTTTTAAACTAGGCATGGCACTCAGTGTACAAAACTTGGGGACTTTTTTTTTTTCTTTTTAAGAATTAAAAAACCCGGGATCCCTGGGTGGCGCAGCAGTTTGGCGCCTGCCTTTGGCCCAGGGCGCGATCCTGGAGACCCGGGATCGAATCCCACGTCGGGCTCCCGGTGCATGGAGCCTGCTTCTCCCTCTGCCTGTGTCTCTGCCTCTCTCTCTCTCTGTGTGTGACTATCATAAATAAATAAGAAAATTTAATAAAAAAATAAATAAATAAATAAATAAATAAAAAACCCTGTAATTCTGCAAGCCAGATATATAACAACCATTAGCTTTTTTTCATGGGTTTTTCTCAAGCCTTTTATTTATGTATACATGTAGGTGAACTTGTTCATTGTTTAACTCAGGTTTAGAAAGTAATTGAGAACTCTATTATCATTTTGCAGCCTGCTTTAATTTTTACTATATTCATGATTCTTTGGGACATTAGCTTTACTGGCCACATAATGTTCTATTATATGAATATAATCTTAACATTTCAATTTTGTTTTACATAGTTAAGGTAATGAACATCATCGTACACAAATCTTGTGCAAGTGTCTGATTATTTATGAGGCATTTGTATTTGACTTAGGAGTCATGATTGTCTAAGCCTATAAAATCGGGGTTTTTGTTATTCCATACATCTTTAACTTTCATCTTCAGCTTGGTACTTTGTATTTAATATCAAAGAGCAAAAGCTCTTATGTTCTGGATCATGTCAAATTCTGCTTGATATAGATGTCAGCCCAGTAACTTATAAACAAGATTTTCTAAATTGAGGTAAAATTGACATATTAGGTTTTTTTTTTTTTTTAAGATTTTGTATTTAAGCAACCTTTACACCCATTATGGGACTTAAGCTCTCAACCTTAAGCTCAAGAGTCTCATGCCCTAGCAACTGAGCCAGCCAGGCACCCCAAGGTTTTTTTCATTTTTTGTTGTTGTTTTAATTGAGCTATAAGTAAAGCCTGATAACTTAAAATAGTTATCATACAGATTGTTAGAGGTACAAAATTTTAAATCTTGTGCTTTAAAACTTATCCACAGACTTCAGAAGAGACCACAGGAGTTGGCATCACTAAAATTCAAGTCAAGAGATGTGAGACCGTGAGAGAGAAGCATATACAGAAGCAGCTGGAGAGGGGAACCTCACAGAAGGAAAAATCAGTTTTGACACCTCTTCGAGGAGACGTAGACTCTTGCAACACTCAGATAGCAGAGAAGCCAGTGCTCACTACTATGCCAGGCATCACACGGCACCTGACAAAGCGGCCTCCCACAAAGTCATCCCAAAAAGCAGAGGTAGAAACCTCAGGGATTGGGGACTCAATATTGAATGTGAAATGTGCAGCACAGACCTTGGAAAAAAGGGGTAAAGGTGAGTGATTTTTCTAGTGTCTTGCATATTAGGATTTGAAAATTACCGAGTTTCCAATAACTCTCTAGCAGCAATTGAGTTAAATTCCATTTGTGTGCTATACTTGTCACACAGGTGGAGAATAGCATTTCTGATAATTCTATTTAAAAAGACAAAGCTGGGGCAGCTGGGTGGCTTGGCTCAGTGGTTAAGCATCTGCCTTTGGTTCAGGGCATGACCCCAGAGTCCTGGGATCGAGTCCCACATTGGGCTCCCTCTGGGGAGCCTGCTTCTCCCTCTGCCTATGTCTCTGCCCCTCTCTCTGTGTCTCTCATGAATAAATACATAAAATCTTAATAAAAAGGCAAAGTTAGATGAGCTCATTTATCAGAATTTAAAATTGCTGTTTAAAAAGCTTTCTCTAGGGGCAGCCCAGGTGGCTCAGCGGTTTAGCACCACCTTCAGCCCAGGGCCTGATCCTGGAGACCCAGGATCGAGTCCCACGTCAGACTCCCTGCATGGAGCCTGCTTCTCCCTCTGCCTGTGTCTCTGCCTCTCTCTCTGTGTGTGTCTGTCATGAATAAATAAATAAATAAATCTTTTTAAAAATAAAAAAATAAAAAGCTTTCTCTAAAGCTCACTTTAGCAGCACATACAGTAAAATTTTTAAGATTTTATTTTATTTATTTATTCACGAGAGACACAGAGAGAGAGAGAGAGAGAGGCAGAGACATAGGCAGAGGGAGAAGCAGGCCCCATGCAGGGAGCCCGACATGGGACTCAATCCCAGGAGTCCGGGATCACGCCCTGGGCCGAAGGAAGGTGCTAAACCGCTGCGCCATCCAGGGATCCCCGGATTCCATATTTTTAAGTCATGGGACTGTAACATACAGCATGGTGACTACAGATAACAATACTGTATTGCTGAAAGTTGCTAGGAGAGTGGATCTTAAAAGTGCTCACACACAAAAATTGTTAACTGTAGAGTAATGGATTAACTAGACTTACAGTCACGTTATATACAAATATTAAATCAGTATGTGGTATACCTGAAACTAATATAATGTTAGATGCCAGTTAAACCTCAGTGGGGGAATCAGAGCTCTCTGTGATGCATTTTTTTTCTCTGGTTTTGAAGAAGAAAAACACCAGGGAGTGGAAAAACCATTCAGATTCAAGAGCCACTAAAAGGAATTATTTGAGTACACATCTCTACATTATGACCACATTGTAGTACACATTGTTTATGGATTATTTTCAGTTTTGGGGCATCATATTTACAGTGTTGAGAAGGAATTTTGATATTCTAAGTTACTCTCCATGTAAAAGAGGAATTCTAGCTATTAATCAGATATTTTCTATCCCTAATAGCTAAACCCAAAGTCAATGTGAAGCCATCTGTGGTTAAAGTTGTCTCGTCCCCCAAGTTGGCCCCCAAACGCAAGGCAGTGGAGGTCCACCCTGCTGTCATCGCAGCTGTGAAGCCGCTCAGCTCCAGCAGCATGCTACAGGAAAGCCCCACCAAAAAAACCGCTGTGGTAAGAAGTAGATCCAACTAGGTGGTGCTTTGGTCAGTGTGCTAGGAAAGCAGGGAAGAGTGACTCCGCTCTGCTCGCTCTCTGTGTGCAAGTACTTATGCCATTTCCTAAGCATTTCAGTCGTTTAGGTTGTTACTGTATCCCACGTTCACCGCTAGACATTTGTGGAGTGGCACGATGGAATTTCTTTTTTTAAAAAGCGCTAATTCTTGGGCAGCAGGATATCTTGCTTATTTGTAGACTCAATCTTTGGATTTATTCTTCAGTTTCCAGGCTTAAAGAGTGATAAAAACGAAAGTGGCAAAAGTAAATGAATATGCTGAAATAAAAAAGGCCTGACTCCAACTGAGTTCCCTTCCTTTTGCTTTTATAGGCAGTTCCACTCCTTTCTGAGGACAAGTCAGTCACTGTGCCTGAGATGGAAAAACCTAGAGACAGGTAATACCTTGTAATTCTTCTTGACCAAACTTTAGGCCACCATTATTTATGCTCTCTAGAGAGTCACACTGCTAAATAAACCTTCAGATACGTTTATTAGCCACTTAGACCCGCTTGATAGCCAACATAAGTAAATCTGCTAAGCTTCCTATTAATTGTAAGAAAACATGATATGCATGCAGGGTTGCTGTTCTCCTTTGGTGCCATTGTGTGTGTACTGACTCATTTTTAAAATGCTTTAAACATCGGTGTGAATCCTGCTTTTAGAAAGATGAGAACTGAAAAAAAACGCCTTGTCCCACCCAAATCAGTAAAACAATTCTGTTATGCTGATATCAAAAATAACTCTTTGCTAATACTCTCTTGTGTTTCTGAGACCAGGTGGGACCGTTTAGCCAACTGTTATTAACAAAGCGCAGTTTTCTAATCTTTTGGGTTTTTTCCTTTGTAGTCATGTGCTGCCTCCAACCCAGTCTTCTTCAGACTCCTCTCCACAGGAAGTCTCTGGCCCTTCTTCATCCCAAATAGCCACGAAAACTCGCCGACTCAGCTCTACCTCAACAGGAAAGCCCCCACTCTCTGTTGAGGATGATTTTGAGAAACTAATATGGGAGATTTCAGGAGGCAAATTAGAAGCTGAGATCGACTTGGATCCTGGGAAAGATGAAGATGACCTTCTGCTTGAGCTATCAGAGATGATTGATAGCTGAAGGTGGTGGAACATTTAAAAAAAAAACACACACACACACACACAGAACTGGACTTAGTTTCATCTATTATAACATTTACCCAAGATGATCGTTTCTTTAGTCTAGAATTTGCCCCAAATCAGAAGTATACCTCTGAATTACCTGTATGTGTCCTGGATTCCTTGGGGTCAGATTTTTAAAGTCCCTTGATAACCATTTTGTCCATTCGATGCCATGGGTTAACATCTGTGAGAAAAACGTTCTGTCTTACACCTCTTCACAAAAAAACTGAGAGGGAGAGCCAAGTCAAAGAGTGCACAAGAACTTAGTGACTCCTTGAGGTGTTTGTCAGTTTGGGCTGTTTTCCCCTTTGCTGTAGTATTTCTTTTATGTATTGTCTTAATGTACTTATTATGTGACCTGAGTTTGAAAAGGAAGAAGACCAGCTGCTGCCAGTAAGGACCAAATTTCACACTACCACTAAACAAAAGACCCACTCCGTCTGTGTTAAATTGTATGTCTTTTTAAAGGTATTTGGAGATTCGACTAAGCTTTAGAGAAGGCTGAGCAGCTCTGGAAGCTTGTAATCTGGACATAACCTTTTCAACCTGATTTCCATGCTTCTGCTGCTCTGTAAGCCTCTGAAGAGCAATAGCTAATTTATTATTACTGTAATTTTTTAAGGCTTTAAAGTGCCTCCGGGGTCCTCTGAAACTAATTTTCTATTTCTCGGATTCCCTGGGACTCTTCATAAGAGATGGTGACATAATGATTAGAAGAATTCTTCTTTTAGCATGAAAAGTTGTCCCTTCTCTTCTTCAGTACTTGCCTCCTGCTGGCATTGAATTATCACAGGGATAAAAATTGGTTGATTTTTTACTTCTCTCACAGCAAACTCCTCTTGCCCAGTATTTATTTGGTGCCCTTTAACCGCCAGAGGGAGGCGGAAATGAACTCCTCCAAGCTGCCAATATGTATCTCTGGACTCTAGCGGTACACTGAATTGTACTGTAGTGGGATTATTGAGATGCTCTGGGGGTGTATTGTATACCTTCCAGTTTTCTTCATTTATGAATTGAATTTTCTTTTCTTGATGTCCGTCTCCTTCATATCACCTCAAGGTTCAGACTTGTGAAGGAACAAGTATGATGGGGATAAGAGTCTTGAAAGGAGACCTACTGTACGTAATCAGAAGAAGAGGAAAGAAGGACTTGTCCATTTTGATATTTTGCTGTATAGGTGGCCAGTTTTGTTTCTCATAGGGAAATCTGACCCACCTGTCGTGTTGGCTCCTAAGGAACTGCTGTTGTAAGCGGCTCATCGAGAGTTGAACTTCATGTAGCCTTGTTGGGAATATGGTAAAGGAAGAAAGCCACGGGACTGCCCATTCAGTCTTGGGAAGATCTGGATGATTCTGCACACGCAAAAATGACTTGAAATTTATGTATAGACACCTCTCTACCAATCCATCTTCAGCTGACTGAATGTTGTATGATAGCCCTTCTCCAAAGCAGGGGTGGAATGTTCTGGTTTCACCACAGATTTTCTACTCCTTTCATTTTTGGAATCAGCTTAAAGATTCCAGGTCCCTTTTGTATATAACCTTTATTTCGCTTTTTTAAAGATAATTTTGTTTCATATTTAAAGTCCTTGTATTAGTCACTGATTCATGTTCAGCATTATTTGAACCATTTGCCATTACAAGAAAGAAAAATACTTATTTGTGTTTTAAATAAAACTGGTGTAGGAAAGTCTGGACATTGTGAGTTAAGTGGTCATACATCACTTCAGCCTAGAATCTGCCTCGATGGGGTTCCATTCAGAATGTTGTTAGCTGCTTGTGTAAATGCTCCAATTTCACAGATACTGTGTGGCTTTAGAAACTTCTCACAAGGGCATATTGCCAAACTTACCCACAAGAATGCTGTTATAGCTGCATATAGTTTAGGTAAGAAGGACTGTTATCAAATGGGAGGACTTTTTCCCCCAACATTAATATTGAATCGTTATTCATAACTCTGGTAACGCCATTAATTTTTTTTAAGAGATTTATTTATTTTAGAGAGAGGGAGGTCGTCGTGCACACACCAGTGGGGAGTCGGGGCGGAGGAGGATAGAGAATCCCAAGCACACTGTTTTGAACACAGAGCCAGATGCAGAGTTCGGTCTCCCCACCCTGAGATCACAACCTGAGCCAAAATCAAGAGGCGGACATTTAACTGACTAAGCCACCCTGGTGCCCCAATGCCATTTTTTTTTTTTTTTTTTTTTTGCAGGAGAGAGGATTTAAAAGTGATCTTAGGTAGATTCAATTAAGAATTTTCAAGCATAAAAAAAAAAGAATTTTCAAGCATGAAGTCATGAAATTCAGAGAAGTGTTTTAAGTAGTATGCCAATTTTTAAGGGAATGAACAAATTTGTTAGCTACCAAAGAACACAGGTTTTTCCTAATAGGCTACGTGTTTTTTTTGTTTTTTTTGTTTAAGATTTTATTTGAGAGAGTGAGCAAAAGAGCATAAGCAGGGGCAGCAGCAGAGAGAGGGAGAAGCAGGCTCCCCACTGAGCAGAGGAGCCCCATGTGGTGCTCAATCCCAGCACCCTGGGATCATGAGCTGAAGGCAGATGCTTAACCAACTGAGCCACCCAGGTGCCCCCCTAATAGTCTAAAAGTAGTTGCAGCAAGTTCAGTCAACTTTGCACAAAACAGATCAGGGGCTCCTGAGTAGTTGGCTCCCCATCAGAAGGGAGTCTGCTTGAGATTCTCTTCCTCTGCCCCTAACCCTCTTTGTGCACACATGCACACTCTAACCTTAAAAATAAAAAACATTGTGTATTGGGTTTTAAGTGATGATGGTTTTCGATTTTAACAGAAGAGGGCCCAAATGTTGCAGTTTGGCTACAGCCTGAAGTTCTCAGATAATCTGTGACTCATGTATTTATCTCAAGGTAAGTGATCCCTAACGTTCTGACCTTAACTTCAAGTAGGCCCTCTCAGATGGCCAAAACAGTTTGTTTTTACCTCGCCAATCTGTGAAACCACCGCAGAGCTAAGATTGATATTTAATACCGTTTAAGAAATAAAGGGCAGCCCGGGTGACTCAGCGGTTTAGCGCCGCCTTCAGCCCAGGGCATGATCCTTGAGACCCAGGATCGAGTCCCAGGTCAGGCTCTCTGCATGGAGGAGCCTGTTTCTCCCTCTGCTTGTGTCTCTGCATCTCTCTCTACACCTCTCTGTGTCCCTCATGGATAAATAAAATATAATAATAATAATAATAATAATAAAGCTTGATCTATGTTGACCAAAGTACAATGTTATTTTTCTAAAATTGTGGCCCTGAGGGGGTGCCTGGATGGCTCACGTTCCTGCTAAGCAGGGAGCCTGCCTCTCCCTCCCCTCTGCTGTGCGCACGTGCACATTCTCTCTCAAAATAAAATCTTTTAATAAAATTGTGGCCTCATTTTGCCAGAATATTCTGCAATTCTTTAAAATGGATTGCTTTTTTTGTCAGTTTAGCAACAGGAAATGGGTTCATAGGCTGCTTAACATTTGCTGAGTATTGTGTACCTCTTAATTCCCATATCCATTTTGATACAACATGCTATGCGGCACTGGAAAGTCACTGCTTTATATTCCCAACTGTAGTGTCAAAATCGGGTCAGGTTTATAAGAAAATATATTTCTACGTGCAGTTGTGTTTGATTCATCGACTTTCAAGAGCTCTTGATTTCTTAAATCTGATTTTAGGAAGTTGCTTGATGACTCTCTGAAAGTTCCCATAACCCACACATATGCCTGCATTAATAACTTATTTTCCAAACTGTGCTTCAACTTAATTGAATTTGCAAAATGACGTTAAGGGCATCAGCATAAAGAAAATACTTGGCCATTTTCTTAACATTGTACAATAAAATGAGCAAAGGATCGGCAAAAATTAGGAGTCACCAGATTTCTTGAGGGCCTAAGAAGAAAGTGCTTAGGTTCTAGTTGTATTTAACTGCTCAAGTGTTACAGAGTCTGAGTTTATGGCTATGAGCAAGAAGCGGTGGATTAAGATTTAGTGTTGCCTGTCCCTGAGTTTTTTAGTCTTTGACCCCGTGACTGGTTTGTCCTCAGGAGTAAGACAACAACCTGTAGAGTTAAGAGTAAGGGTAAGCGGAGCCAGTCAGATTCTGAAAAAAAGAGAAGGAAAAATGTTCAAATAGCCTCTTGCTTGTTTAATAAATAAGTGAAATAGGGAATTGGCTAGATCAAGAAGACTTGAAACAAAGCAGGAGAAATTTCTAGGGAAGAGGGAAGCAACATGGAAGGAATCCCTACCCAATAGGTGTATATGGTTAAGGAATGTCCTTCATTGGGTTGGGATCTCAAGGAGTGTGGCTGAATTTAGAAAAACTGAGTTAATATGAAGTTAATATCTCAGTATAACTGCCATAAAGTATTTTGGATTTCCATCCTTTTTTTTTTTTTTTTTTTAAAGATTTTACTTATTCACGAGAAAGAGGCAAGGGGCAGAGGGAGAGGCAGGCTCCCTACTTGGGATCATGACCCAAACCAAAGGCAGACTCTCAGGCACTAAGCCACCCAGGTGCCCCTTGAAGAGGCTCAAAACAATCTAAATTCTATCTTTTTTTTTTTTAAGATTTTATTTATTCATCACACACACACACAGAGAGGCAGAGACACAGGCAGAGGGAGAAGCAGGCTCCATGCAGGGAGCCCGACGCGGGACTCCATACCAGGTCATGACCACTAACCTCTCTCCATCGCTTTGCCTTGGTTAACGCTATCTTTCCCCCTAAAAGTCTCTTATTCTGGCTGACTCCTACACATCCTGTTGCCTCCAGGCTACTCTCCCAACACCCCGCTCTCCTCCGCAAACTGGGGTTGGTGCCCATCCGCTAGGCATTCACTATTTGTTTACCCCTACCGTTTTATTTTATTTTTTTTTTTCATTTTTATTTTTTATTTTTTTTACCCCTACCGTTTTAAAATTGTTTCCTGTCCAACCTCAGCAGAGTGTAAATTTGAGACAGAGATTCTTTTTTTTTTTAAGATTTTATTTATTTATTCACGACAGACAGAGAGAGAGAGAGAGAGAGAGAGAGGAGAAGCAGGCTCCATGCAGGGAGCCCGACGTAGGACAGACTCGATCCCGGGTCTCCAGGATCACACCCCGGGCTGAAGGCGGCGCTAAACTGCTGGGCCACCGGGGCTGCCCAAGACAGAGATTCTTACCAACCTATATACTCTCGGCACTATCATAACAAAATACCACAGACCGGATGGTTCAAACAACAAATTCATTTTCTCACAGTGCTGGAGGCTACAAGTCCAAAATCAGGGTGTTTGAAAGTTTGGTTTATTCTGAGGCTTCTCTGGTTTGCGGATGCCACTTTCTCACTATGCCCTCACGTGGTCTTTCTCCTACATGCACATGTCTGTGCTTTAATGTCTCTATAAGGACATCAGTCATCCTGGATTAGAGCCCACCCATGTGACTTCATTTAACCTTGATCACCTCTGTAAGGGGCCTATCTCCAACTCCAGTCATACTAGGAGGTGCTGCGGGTTAGAGCTCCAACATAGGAGTTTCAGGGGGCACACTTCAGGCCATAACAAAAGGGCATTTGATAAACATTCGCTGGATGAATAAAAAAGCTCTTGACCCATGTACCCATGTCAGGGGCCGGTGATCTCTGCTAGACTGCCCGTCTTTACAACCCCTTTCATTGGAATGTACGGTTTAGCAATTTATATTTCCACCACTCTTTGATCTTTCTATGGCTTCTCAGTGTAATTTTTTTTTAAGATTTTATTTATTTATTTGAGAGAGACAGAGATAGGGACAGAGATAGCGAGAGAGCAGGAGCAGGGAGGAGAGGGAAAAGCAGGCTTCCCACTGGGGCTGGGTCCCGGGACCCTGGGATCATGACCTGAGCAGAAGGAAGACGCTTAACCAACTGAGCCACCAATGTAGTTTAATTTGTTGGCATGCCTCATAATGGGTGAGGTTGGGCATTTTTTCATATGTATTTTCTTTCTCTCTTTCTTTCTTTCTTCCTTTCTTTCTTCCTTCTTCCTCTTCCTTCTTCCTTCCTTTCTTCTTCCTTTCTTTCTTCCTTTCCTTTCTTTCTTTCTTTCTTTCTTTCTTTCTTCTTCTTCCTTCCTTCCTTCCTTCCTTCCTTCCTTTCTTCTTTCTTTCTTTCTTTTTCTTTCTTTTTTCTTTTTTTTTTTTTTACAATTCTGAGGTCTTTTCTTTACATTCATCATGCCATGAATTCATAGGGAATGGGTTCCAGCAGTTCAGGCTCCTTTCCATTGGTTCTCACAAAGTGTGCTTCTCCGGGTGGGGCAGGCTAGCGCTTCAGCTGGACCCAAGTACCTTTCTCTTTGACTTCCTTGTTTTTCTGATCATTTTCCTTCACACGTTTCAGGAAGCTATCTCGGCTCTTTGAGTGTTTAATATGCCCAGTGCGGACGTTAATTCTTTTGGCAAGACTCTTGCCCTTTACTTGTTTGTTTACAACAATGCCAACAGCACGCTGAGTAACTTGGTAGACTCTTCCAGTTTTGCCATGGTAACAGCGGTGCGGCATTCCTTTTTGAACAGTGCCTATTCCCTTGATGTCCACAATATCACCTTTCTTACAGATTCGCATGTATGTGGCCAAAGGAACGACTCCTTGTTTTCTAAAAGGCCTAGAGAACATGTAGTGTGTACCTCTCCTCTTTCCCTTTGGGTTGGTCATTTTGGCGAATGACTGAAAGATGCCGGTTCCTCATATGTATTTTCTTTACGATAAACTCTTTGTTCACCTCCACTGCCAATTTTTATTTTGGATCCTTTTGTCTGTTTGTGGCTACAAATTCTTTAACAGAGGTGGGATCTATTTTTCCAGCCCTTGAATCTGGCCTGGGGTGTGAACTGTATACTGGTTCCTGGCCTGGCCTTTAAATGGTACTGCGGCTTCAACCTTGGTTATTTATTTGTTTGTTTGTTTGTTTATTATTTTTTAAAGATTTTATTTATTCATGAGCGACACAGAGAGAGAGAGAGAGAGAGAGAGAGAGGCAGAGACACACAGACAGACGGAGAAGCAGGCTCCATGCAGGAAGCCCGATGTAGGACTCAGTCCCGGGACCCCAAGGATCACACCCTGAGACAAGGGCAGATGCTCAACCGCTGAGCCACGCAGGCATCCCCAGCCTTGGTTTTTAAGAGGCCGAGGCCACCGTTTAAAAGAAAGCATCCTAGGGGCTCCTGGGTGGCTCAGTTGGTTAAACACCCAACTCTTGATTTCAGCGCAGGTCATGATTTCAGGGCCATGAGGTTGAGCCCTGCATTAGCAGGGTGTGAAGCCTGCTTAGCATTCTCTCTCCCTCTCCCTCTGCCCCTCCCCTGCGCCGTCCCCAACAGGCATGCATGCACTTTCTCTCTCTCTCAAAAAAAAAAGAAAGAAACTTCTTACTCTGCCAGAGATACAACATGTGAGGCCCTGAGGCTACACAGACAAGGAGGGGGACCCAAGTGAGGCCAATTTTCTAAACACGTACACCAAACCCTTAAATATGCCTTTTAGAGCAAGAAAAAAAAAAAATTGCCCAGCTGGGCACTGCCCAAATTCTTGACTCACAAAATCATGAATTATAACAAGATAGTTGTTTTAAGTTCTCAAGTTTTGAAATATTTCTTTCGCAGCAACAGAGAACCAGAAAAGCATTTTTTTTTCAGAAAAGCATTTTTTTTAAAGTTCATTATATATGTAAAATTAGCCATTTGTTTGATGTGGTACAAACACACTTCTCCCAGACCTTTTGACTTTGCTTACTGTGGTGATGTTTTAGTCACATAAAACTTTATGTGATTTTTTACATAATTGAATTTATCACTTTTTCTTCTAAAAACCCAGCAAGAACATACAGTTGAAGAAAAGTCAATTTTTGGGACATCTGGGTGGCTCAGTGGTTGAGTATCTGACTTTGGCTCAGGGCGTGATCCTGGGGTCCCGGGGGTCGAGTCCCGCATCCGGCTTTCTGCACGGAGCCTGCTTCTCCCTCTGCGTATGTCTCTGCCTCTGTGTCTCTGTGTCTCTTATGAATAAATATAATATTTACAAGAAACGGAAAGTCAATTTTCATTTATTTATTTATTTATTTTTTAAAAGATTTTATTTATTTATTCATGAGAAACACACAGAGAGAGGCAGAGACACAGGGAGAGGGAGAAGCAGGCTCCATGCAGGGAGCCCAACGTGGGACTCGACTCCGGGTCTCCAGGATCATGCCCTGGGCCGAAGGCAGCGCTAAACCGCTGAGCCACCCGGGGCTGCCCAGAAAAGTCAATTCTTAAGAACAAGAAAAAAGCATTATCTATGATTAAACTAGATAAGCTGCTAGCAAGAAGACACTGGAAACTAAAGAAAACAGAAAAATTCCCAAAGACCCAAAGGAAAATTTGAACAAATAGACATCACATAGTTTTAAAAATAGATTCTAAGTCATTCTCAAGTTTAATGTAATCACAGTAAAAATACAGAAAGGAATCTTTTAATTAGATAAGCTGATTCTAAAGTTTGTAAGAAAAATAAATAAGAACAGCTAAGAAAGTTCTATCGACTTCCAGTCCTACCAAATAAGGAAATATCATACAATACTTGTAACAGTGACACTGGTCCATAAGACACAAAGATCAAAAAAAAAAAAGGGGGGGGGATCCCTGGGTGGCTCAGCGGTTTAGCACCCGCCTTTGGCCCAGGGTGCAATCCTGGAGTCCCGGGATTGAGTCCCACGTCGGGCTCCCTGCATGGAGCCTGCTTCTCCCTCCTCCTGTGTCTCTGCCTCTCTCTCTCTCTAAGTCTATCATAAATACATAAATAAATCCTAAAAAAAAAAAAAAGACACAAAGATCATTTGGGCAAAATATAAACTATACATATATACATACACATACACTTGGTGTATAATAAACGTTGCATATTTTATTTATTTATTTATTTTAGATTTTATTTATTTGATAGAGAGCCAGAGAGCACAAGCAGCAGGAGCTGCAGGCACAGGGAGAGGGAGAAGTAGGCAGGGAGCCCAGCCCGATGCAGGACTTGATCCCAGGACCCTGAGATCATGCCCTGAGCCAAAGGCAGATGCCTACGGATTGAGCCACCCAGGTGACCCTAAATGTGGCATTTTATTTTTTTTTTATAAATTAATTTTTATTGGTGTTCAATTTACCAACATACAGAATAACACCCAGTGCTCATCCCGTCAAGTGTACCCCTCAGTGCCCGTCACCCATTCACCCCCACCCCCCACCCTCCTCCCCCTCCACCACCCCTAGTTCATTTCCCAGAGTTAGAAGTCTTTATGTTCTGTCTCCCTTTCTGATATTTCTCACACTAAATGTGGCATTTTAAATGAAATGAGGAAACTATGGGTTTTTTTGTAATGGTAATGGAAAAACTGGGTCGCTATCTAGATATAAAGTTGTACCAGTTCTAGGATATACTGGGGTACATTCTAGATGGGTCAAGGATTTAAATGTCATAAAAGCAAAGTCACTTAAAAGAAAAAACAGGGGTGCCTGTGGCTCAGTCAGTGAAGCAACCCACTCTTGATACGGGCTCAGGTCGTTATAGCACAGTGGTGAGATGGACCCGTGTGGGGCTCCGGGCTCAGCAGGGAGTCAGCTTGAGATTCTCTCCCTCTCTAAAATAAATAAATCTGGGGGATCCCTGGGTGGCTCACGGGTTTAGTGCCTGCCTTCGGCCCGGGGCGTGATCCTGGAGTCCCGGGGATCAAGTCCCACATGAGGCTCCCTGCATGGAGCCTGCTCCTCCCTCTGTGTCTCTGCCTCTCTCTCTCTCTCTGTCTCTCACGAATAAATAAATAAAATCTTTTAAAAATATATAAATAAATAAAATAAAATAAATAAATCTTTGTGGGACGCCTGGGTAGCTCAGTGGTTGAGTTTCTGCCTGGGGCCCAGGGCGTAATCCTGGAGTCCCGGGATCGAGTCCTGCACCAGGCTCCTTGCTCGGGGCCTGCTTCGTTCTCTGCTTCTCTGTCTCTCACGAATAAATAAGATCTTCTTAAAAATATATTTTTAAAATAAAGGGAAAAAAAATAAATCCTCTGTCATGAGTTGTATAATCAGATGATTGCTTATAAGGATCAATCCTTGAAAGCTTAGGAGGCCTAACTTCGGACAGGAAACTGCAAGAGCAGGGAAGCATCTGTGCATCTGCAATGAGCCGGGTGTGAGCAGTTCCCTCCCTCCGTGCTATCTTTGAATTCAACCCACCCCTGTTTACTCTGCAGACAACATGACCCTCTATTGGGATGGGGATGGGGATGGGGGAGGGAATGGGGAGGGGGATGGGGGAGGGGAGGGGGATGGGGATGGGGGATGGGGATGGGGATGGGGATGGGATGGGGGAGGGGATGGGGAGGGGATGGGGATGGGATGGGATGGGATGGGGGAGGGGATGGGGATGGGGATGGGATGGGGAGGGGAGGGGGAGGGGGATGGGGGAGGGGGATGGGATGGGGATGGGGATGGGGATGGGGAGGGGGATGGGATGGGGGAGGGGATGGGGATGGGGGAGGGGATGGGGATGGGATGGGGAGGGGAGGGGATGGGGAGGGGGGAGGGGGGAAACTTTTTTTTTTTTTAAGATTTTATTTATTCATGAGGGACACAGAGAGGCAGAGATACAGGCAGAGGGAGAAGCAGGCTCCATGCAGGGAGCCTGATGCAGGCAGGACTCGATCCCAGGCCCCCGGGGTCATGACCTGAGCCGAAGGCAGATGCTCAACCACGGAGCCCCCCAGGGGCCTGAAACCTTTTTTTTTTTTTTTTTTTTTTTGCTGAAACTTTTTTTAAAACGAATAATCATCCGATGCGTTTTCTGGCTCTTTGCAGTCCCAAACTCGCTCTCATGTCCTCTGATCTCAACACTTTCACGAGGTCATGACGTCAGCATCACGTCACCCTCCACGGAGGACCCCGGTCAGGTAAGCGGGGCCTGACTCCGTCCTCTCCTGCCCCGGGTCCTCCGTCTGCAGGACGGGCCTGCACGCATGCGCCGTGTCCGCCAGGCCCCAGGGCCGCCTACAGAGACGCCGCACAATGGGGTCCAGGTGCGAACCCCCGCGCCTCGCCTTGGCTTTGGACGGTCGGGGGCCGCGAGGGCCAGGCTGGGGGCGCCCCGCGTCGGGGCTCCTCACCGCCACCCCGTCTGCACAGCGACGCGGGCTCGGCCTCGCGCGCCGCCGCCCCAGGGAACACGGGGCCGACCCCCCGCCGAGGCACAGGTGCGCAGGAGGAAGATGCAGCCGCGGCCACGCCCACACGGGCGCAGCCTCTCTGCGCCGCCTCCCGCCTCCCTCCAGGTGGCGCTGTAGGATCGACTCACGTCCGGAAGCACGTCGCCGCCGGCCGAACCGCCCCCCCGGGGGGCTGGAGACCACAGAGAAAAGCCGCCCCCGCGGATAGAGAGGCACTTCCCAGGAGCCTCCCGGGTCGCCACGCGGGCGCCGGGCGCTTCCGCTTCCGGTTCTCTATCGCGGAAGTTGCCTCCCGGGAGAGCGCGCGGTCTTTGTCCGCTCCCGCCATGGCGTACCGGGGCCAGGGCCAGAAAGTGCAGAAGGTGATGGTTCAGCCCATCGTATCCTACGCAGGATGTCAGGGCGAGGAGGTTGGGGCCGGAAAACGTGAGGCGAAGGGAGCCGACCCTACGAGAGGAGGCCCGAGGGGGCGGAGTGCGGGCCCGCATCCCGGGAGCCGGCGGGAGGGGGCTTGGGCGGGCCCTGCGGTGCGGAGGCCGCGGAGGCCGCGGAGGCCGCGGGGCGCGGGGGCGCGGGGAAGGCAGCCTGAGGAGTAACTGAGGGTGAGAGGGCTCCGTCCCGGGGGCCGGGAGGGCTCAGCCGCCGAGGAATCCCGCGAGAGCGAGAGCGAGAGCGAGAGCGAGAGCGGGAGGCGCCCCCACTGCGAGCCCGGCCGGACTCCGCTCGCGGCGGGGTGACGGCGGGGTCGCCCGGGGTCAGGGGGCACGGCCTGCTCTGCCTTTTTTGTTTTTGTTTTTGTTTTTTTCTTCCTTAACCGCTGCTGCAGAACCTCATCTTCAGATACTTGCAAAATGTACGTAAGTTGCCTCTTCTTCCTTGTTTTGTGACCCCCTTTTAAAGCCAAAGGGCGAATTTAAGTTAGAAGACGAATTGGGTTGGTTGGTAGCGTCCTCCTGTCTGACCAGCGTGGTGGGGCTCGGGCTCGGGCTCGGGCGGTGAAACAGGCGACTCGTTTTTTTTTTTTTTTTTAATTTATTTATTTATGATAGTCACAGAGAGAGAGAGAGAGAGGCAGAGACACAGGCAGAGGGAGAAGCAGGCTCCATGCACCGGGAGCCCGACGTGGGATTCGATCCCGGGTCTCCAGGATCGCGCCCTGGGCCAAAGGCAGGCGCCGAACCGCTGCGCCACCCAGGGATCCCGAAGAGTTGCATGCAACTCTTGATCTTGGGTGAGGCAGTTCCAGCCCCGGGTTGAGTGTAGAGATTACTTAAATTTAAAAAAAAAAAAAAAAAAAGGCAAACTAGAGATTGGAGGGGTGTTTGAGGGCAAGAGGTCAGGAAAGCTGTGACGTAATGAAACATCAACTCCAAACCCACTGAAAGAACTGTGTGGTCGTTTCTTTGCAAGACCGAAATCGCCAATTTGAAAAGGTGAATTAATGGCAGGTGTGGCTGGTATTTGGGTACTTTTGTTGATAGTCCTTATGGCTGTAGACCCTTGGAACTCTTCCCCCCCCCCCCCCGGTTGTTTTTTTTTTTTTTTTTAACCTTGGGATGAAACAAGGGAAGAATCCTATCCACTTTAAACCACAAAATAAGAGCTGGGGGGGGGGGGGAGAGGGACTTAAATATAGAAAAGATGCCCAAAAACGGAGGAAGGGAGGGACAGGCTCAGGATGTCGCGACAGCCTGCTTTCCTTTGGAGGAATTTTTAGCAGCTCAGATTGTGAGTTGGTAGGGCAGGGTGTTTGAATTATTTTGGAAAGAAAATGTAGTTTCTGGCAATGCTCTGATATTCTTCTGAAAATGCTCTGACAAATTTTAGTGTGGTAACATAATTACAAATTACAATTTTTTTTTTTTTTTTTGAGAGCACAAGGTCCCATTTATTGGAATTTTAGACAGCAAGACAAGAGGAAGGCCTCCTCCTCCCGGGAAACAGGCTCATCCTCTCTGCCCTCAGGGCTCAGCACAGGGATGAGGGCAGGGGAGAGGAGGGGAGGGGGGGACTGGGCACGACTCTGTGCCAGGCTGTGGGGGCGGGAACGGGAGGGGACACGTGCACCCTCACCTCTTGGCTCGGCCCCTCTCCCCTGGGACCTGGTGTTGCCCCCAGACCCTAGGGTGGGCTGGCAGACAGGGCTCATGCAACAGTGAGTGGGCATGGGGTGGCACAGAAACCGGGCCCCACTGCCCTTTGGCGGGGCCGGAGGGCGAGAAGGGGCCATGCTGGCCACGGCGGGTCTGAATCAGAAGTATTTCAAGTTGTAATTTTTTTTTTAAGTAAATCTCTATACCCAACGTGGGGCTCAAACCCACGACCCCAAGATCAAGTCACAGGCTTCACTAACTCAGCCAGTCAGGTGCCCCAGGCCATTGTCACTTTTAATCACCAGAATTGAGGGCCCTTTCCCTGGTTGTTAAATGTGAGGGAAATTAGGAACCTAGAGAAAGTGGTTTTGAAGCTGGATTTTGCTATCGCAGATAAGAAAGAAGCCCTTGATCATTGGAAATTACTGCCTTGTGCTACGCTGTCAACTTGCACTCTAAATGTATTGAGAAAAGAAGCAATAAAAAATGAGTCCCAAGATGGCAGGAAAATTATGAACTTAGTCCCAATATAGCATTTATTGAGAATGTTTCCTGGCAAATAACTGGTCTTGGTTATCATTTCTTGGATATGATTCAAATAGTTAAAATTCTTGGCTTTTTTTTTTTTTTTTAAGATATTCTTTAGGAGTCATATTTCTCTGTTGTTTGACCAGAGTGATTGGGCTTTGTTTACTTGCTTTCTTGACCTACTTTTTTCTCCCTCCACCCCCAGAGATCTCGGATTCAGGTGTGGCTTTATGAGCAAGTAAACATGCGGATAGAGGGCTGTATCATTGTGAGTACTCAGGATGTTTTATCTCACAGCAGTTTGTTCATATAAATGATTTTGCAGAAATGCCCAGCCAGAGCAGAAGTCGAAGACCCAACCCAAGAAAGTTCTTCAACACTGCTATCCTTGTCTTACGTTCTGTTTGATGGAAGTTGGGTCATTCATAAAAAAGGGAAAATTAATTCTTAAAATTACTTAAATGACAGTGTCAGTAATTAAAGGAGGGGACAAAAGAAATAAAGTGAGGTGAAAATTAATGGTGTATTAGTTCTGTATCAGGGGATACCTGAATAGAATGGGGTGGGGTTAGTTCAGTAAGACTTTCAGAATAGCAGAACATGCTAAGTAACGTGGGGTAGTTTTTCTGTTTTTTATTTTAGAGAGAGTGAGGTGGGAGGAACAAAGGGAATGGGAGAGAAACTTAGGCAGATTCTGCTGCGTGTGGAGCCGGACACAGGGCCTGATCCCTGAGCCAAAACCAAGAGTCAGACACCCAGCCCGACTGCATCTCCCAGGCACCCTATCCCTAAATAATGTTTTATTTTATTTTTTTTTTTTTTAAGATTTTATTTATTTATTCACGAGATACACAGAGAAGAGGCAGAGGGAGAAGCAAGATCCATGCGGGGAGCCCGACACGGGACTCGGTCCCGGGTCTCCAGGATCATGCTCTGGGCTGAAGGCAGCGTTAAACCGCTGAGCCACCCAGGCTGCCCTAAATAATGTTTTAAAGAAAGATAAAATATGGCTAAAAAGTATTATGTTAGGACATTAGGAGGCTATGATACTTACCTTTAGACATTGCAGATTCATCAGTAATCTTCCCTTCCCTGCTTACTAGTAGAAAAACAAATGTTATGGGTAGTGGCAAGAGTGTTTTGTGAGGAACATGGGAAGACTGGAGGCAGTGGAGGTCAATTCATATATGTACACACGTTCTGAATTGGACAAGTTATAAGCGATAGGGACATTGGCTCTAAGGCATAGCTAATCAAATCAAGTCCAAAAGGCTTGGGAGGTAATTTGGAATATGTTCTGGTTTTCTTGTTATTTAAAAAGAGGCTTAGGAGGGAAATGGTTGTTTAGCTGAAAGATCAGTGGAGAGATGAGTTTCTGAAGTTAGTTGGCATTTCTCTATATAGGTATTCATCTGGAATAGTTTGGGTGTGATTTTACTTGAAAATGACAATCAGTTGGCTTATTTTTCTAGGGTTTTGATGAGTACATGAACCTTGTATTAGATGATGCCGAAGAGATTCATTCTAAAACAAAGTCAAGAAAACAACTGGGTAAGAATGTAGATGGCCTTTTGGAATTGTGGAAATTTTTGTTCACTTACAGAATCGAATGAGTTGCAACTCAGTTCATGTTTAAATTTAGTTTGCGTTTGAGAATTTAGTATGTGGGAAAGTAGTTCACTCTTGGAATCATCCTCTGCCTCTGCTTACCCCATCCCATTTCTGCTTTTGTTTTTCCACTCAGCTCTCACCAAGGTCACCAGTGACAAATGGTGTTAAATCTAATGGTTAATATTAGCCCTCGTTATATTGAACTCTAAACAGCATTTCGCACTGTTGGCCACTCCCACCTTAAAACACTTTGTTCCCTTGGTTCCATGTTACTATACTCAGATTTTCATTTTTCATTTCTAGTTATTCCTTTCCAAATTTTTGATATTCATTCTTTGGGACCCAGCCATTTGTTTTGAGTTGCTCAGGGCGTGGTTGTAGGCCTTCCTGTCATTTGGTGTTATTTACCCAAAACCTCAAGGTTATAACCTTGAGACTATACTTTTAATCACCATCTATATATATTTGTATTGACCTCAGATTTACTTCCGTAGCCCTGGACTTCTCTGAGCCTATTCAACATTTCTGCTTGAATGTCTCAAAGGCTTCTCAGAGTTAACATGTGCAGAAATCAAACTCACTTCCCACCCCTTACATACTCTTTCGGAGCTATTTTAGTGTTCCCTGTCTTACTGAATGGCACCAGCCTCCATTCAGTTTACTGATTGATTTCTGTGCAACTACCTCATTTCTCTCCAGTTTGCTCTGCAGGCTGCATCTGCCTTTGAAAAGCGCCTGTCTGACCTCGTCCTCCTTTTGCTTAAAGTCCTCCAGTGACTTCCTGTGGCTAGGAAGATAAGAAAGTCTTTAATGTATTCTGCAAGGTTCTTCATGATCTGGCCTTTTGTCCCTCTGCTTGTTTTGTATCACTCTCTGCTTCATTTTCTGAGCTTCATCCACGCTTGTATAATTTCAGTTGTTTGAATCTGCTCATTTGCCTCACCATAAATCTTTGTATATGCTGTTTCCTCTGTCCTTAGGACTCAAATCAAATGTCAGATATCAGGGTTTGGTTTTATTTTACTTGGGGTAGGGATGGGGAGGCAGGGTGTGCTGTGTTATTTGAGTTTGTAGTTATACACTCATTTGTGGAGTTACTTTATTAATGTCTCTCTCTTCACTGGGCCAGATACTCCGTAAGTCATAAGTCCTTTTTTTTTTTTTTTTTTTTTTTGTTCCCTAATATGCTTACTGCCTAATTCAATGCCTGCCGTGTAGTCGTTAACCTATAGAATAGATTAATATTTACCTGTTGTAGAAGTTTGGTAAAGTGAAACCATTTAATCCATTGGGGTTGATGAGCATTTCTCAAACTGATTTATATAAATTTCTAAGAATGTTTATAGATATTCTCAGGAAAAAATATTCTCTGCTCAAATAAGATTAGGAGATGTTGGGTAAGGCTCAAACAGGTTTATTAATTGCATCATGGAGTCTTTAATATGCTGAGAACTCTAAGAATGGTGCTGCGGTATTCTGCATTTTTTAAAACTTTGCACATAACTCATTCCCCAACTTCTATAAACTAAGAGCAGTGGGAAATGTTGGAGTAGACCTATTTATTTGAGTTAGTCTATAGAAACTTTTTTTCATAAAATAACATTTCTCTACCTTCATTAGGTTCTTTTGGAAAAGTTCATAGGCTGTAATATGCATAGCCTTTCAGTATATTGATATTGGAGGAAAATGTTCACATACCTGCTCGAGAGAGGGCATTTTCAGAATCACTCAAGTATGATCCAGAATTCTGAGGCTAAACCGTCGTTACATATGTGTCTGAGTGGCTATTAATAGCTTTTTTTTTTTTTTTTAATTTTTGTGTTGCAGGTCGGATCATGCTAAAAGGAGATAATATTACCCTGCTCCAAAGTGTCTCCAACTAGAATGAATGATAAGTGAAGTGAGAAATTCTTGAGAAGGCCACGCAGTTTGTTTTTTTAGATGTCCTTTGTTGGGAATATAGTTCTAAAACCCTTGTTCGTATTGTTTTGATTACCTTTATGTTCTTACCAGAGGACAATAAATGCTGTGGGATTGTTTTTATTTTAAAATTCACATTGTTTCTTTCTATTCAGTAGTAGAGACCTTTCACACACGTGGCAGCTAAGTGGTCTGGAGGGTGGCAGTTGCCCTGGGCATTTGTTTTTTTCAAGAGCCTCGATCTATAGATTCTTAAGGCAAAGAGTAGGAATTCTACCTGACAGGTAAGCTCCTGATAGTGGGTGCTGGAGAAGAGGACTCGCAAAAATAAACATTATTGCACTAATACGCATCTTCAGCAGCACTTGTCATTCTGGCTGCCAGGACACAAGAGCTGACCACAACAGGCTGGACATGCTATAACAGCTTCTTTATCTGCTTAGCACTTTGACAGTCACTCTGTGAGGTCTCTGTGACTCTCCTACTACTAAGATCACAATGTGAAAAGTAGTTTGGGTATAGGCAAAGATAAAATGCCCTAAAAGTACATGTAAAATGAGCTCTATTAACAGTCAACAGGACAGAGACTTGGTGAGATTGGTAACTTGAAAAAGACCACAAGCAGCACTGGTAAGTTGTTAGGCAGAATAATGGTATGTCAGTTGGAGCAACACTTGTCTCTTACTCTTCTCTCTAAAGATGTTGCCACCTCCCCCAGTAATTGCTTATGTCCTAACTGAATTAACTGGACAGATTTTTCCTTCCCCAATACTTTGGGTTGGTTCTAGTTTGGGGTGCCTGGCTGACTGAGTTGGTAGAGTGTATGACTCTTGATCTTGAGGTCATGTGTTTGAGCCCCATGTTGAGTGTAGGGATTACTTAAACTTTAAAGATTTTATTTATTCATGAGAGATAGAGAGACAGAGGCAGAGACATAGGCAGAGGGAGAAGCAGGCTCCATGTAGGGAGCCTGATGTGGGACTGGATCCTGGACTCCAGGATCACACCCTGAGCCAAAGGCAGATGTTTAACTGCTGAGCCACCCAGGTACCCCAAGGGATTACTTAAACTTAAAAAAAAAAAAAATTGTAGAATAGTTCTAGTTAGAATTCTGATAAATGATTATTGAGCATCTGCTATTATATAGGCACCAAGTCAGATGCAGTGAAACACTGGCAAACAAACAGCTTCAGTGCCATGCGCTAAATGCTATTTAAATTAGATCTTGAAAAATGAGTAAGGCCTGCCTTAAATGCGGGTAATGGGCATTACTAAGAGTGGGTGGAAAAGGAACAAGAAGTCTAGTTCCTGCTTTTCCAAGTGCCTATGAGGGAGATAGAGAAGTCTCCTTTAAACTGAGTAAAAGAGGGCAGCCCTGGTGGCTCAGCAGTTTAGCGCCGCCTTCAGCCCAGGGCGTGATCCTGGAGACCTGGGATTGGGTCCTGTGTGGGGCTCCCAGCATGGAGCCTGCATCTCCCTCTGCCTGTGTCTCTGCCTCTCTCTCTCTCTCTCTCTTTCTCTGTGTGTGTCTCTCATGAATAATAAATTTTTAAATCTTTAAAAAAATAAACTGAGTAAAAGACACCCTTCATGAGATAGAGGAAATTTGTAGTTAAGTATAGAAATCTGTCCAGCTTCTAGCTGTTCCTCTCCTATTTGAACCTGTGCCTTTTTTGGTCACATTTTTAAATAAAGGGCTATTTTAGCTCTTCTAACATAGTTGAGTTTGAAATGCACTGAACCTGCTACAATATGCAAAGAAAACCTTGGGCAGCAGAGGGAGTTGCATCCCTGAGACTACTTCAGCCTTTCTAGTAAAAGCTTCTTCAGGGCAAAGACCTCCCTGCAGCTTTCTTGGCACCAAAATAGCTGGGGAGAAGGATAAAAGCGGGAGCAGTATAATCCCTAAGAAAACCTGCTGGCTGCTTTTCCATTTCCCTGTGCAGCCTTTTCTGACCTGGCTGCCCTGTGTAAGCAAAGCTGTGCCTGCTGTGGCTTATTCTGAATGGATCAAGACATGGAAGGTTCTATTTTTGACAGAGCAAACGATGATTGAAATAAGGTACAGTGAACTCTTACAATTCAGCTCTGTATTTAGAAATCTCTGTTTGCTTTCCTGCCTTACTGGAGCCTGTGGTGTTTGCTTTTTAAGTTGTACTTTTCCACAATCTGTAGATCTTTTTTTCCAACCAAAATTTGTATTACAGGAGGCGTTGCTGTCTGCTTCATTAAGGTTATTAAAACATGCTGCTGGGAAGCTGCTCTTGTTGGCAGCCTTTGGTATGTGAGCAATTATTTTTCTGGAATGGCTGTTGGTTTCTGAGGGGGTCTTGCTAACCACCCACTAACTCTCTTGTAACATTCTTGAAATGGGAGTGGGAGGAGACTAAGGTTCTAAAAAAGTAAAGTGCTAGTGTAGGCCTGGTGTTTTATGAGTAGGTAGGGAGGAAGAAGGGTAAGGATAGTTTGAAAAGCCTAGGATTTTGTATTTGCAGGCACTGGCTATTGTCGTTGTACCAAATTTGTCCGTTCCAGCAAACATCGTTCTATTTTCTGTCTTTTTCTATGTTCTATTTTCTGTCTATTTCTTCGTATAAATGTCTTTTTTGATAGACTTTTTTTTTTTTTTTAAGATTTTATTTATTTATTCATGAGAGACAGAGAGAGAGGCAGAGACACAGGCAGAGGGAGAAGCAGGCCCCATGCAGTAAGCCTGATGTGGGACTCGATCCCAGGTCTCCAGAATCATACCCCGGGCTGAAGGCGGCACTAAACCACTGAGCCACCAGGGCTGCCCATGGTAGACTTCTTTCACTTAGCATAATGTTCTCATGGTTCATCCATGTTGTAGAATGTCATGATTTCCTTCCTCTCTTTAAGGCTGAATATTTTGTTTCTACACCACGTTTTCTTTTATACATTTAACTGACTGTCAGTAAATATTTGGGTTACTTTCACCTTCTGGCTATCATGATTAATGTTCCTCTTCAAGACTCTGTTTTCAATTCCTCTGAGTATATACCCAAACGTTTTGTTTTAAGAGATGGGGAAGGAAGGTGGGTCGAGAGGAAGAGAATAATAAAGCAGGCTCCGCACCCAGCATGGAGCCTGACGCGGGGCTTGATCTCACCCTGAGATCATGACATGAGCAGAAATCGAGTCAGACACTTCACTGGAGCTACTCAGGTGCCTGACCACCCCCCCCCCCAATATTTTTTTGAAGAACCGTCTTAATGTTGCTATGAACATGGGTATACAGATACCTCTTTAAGACCCTGCTTTCAGTTTTTTTGAGGAACCATCGTAGAGTTTTCCACAATGGCTACACCACTTTACATTCTCATCAATAGTGCACCCCAGTTTCAGTTTCTCTACATTCTTGGCAAAACTTATTATCTACTTTTGATAGCAACTATCTCAGTGGTTGTGAGGTGATATCTCATTGTGGTTTTGATTTGTATTTCCATAATGGTGGTAAGCATCTTGATATGTTTATTGGTCATTTGTTTATCTTCTTTGGAGAAATGTCTATTGTAAGTCTTTTGCCTATTTTTAAACAGGTTATTTTTTGTCGTTGAGCTGAAGGAGTTCTTCACATAGTCTGGATATTAACCCCTTATCAGATACACAGTTCATGAATATTTTCTCCCATTCTGTAGGTTGCTTTTTCCATTCTGTTGATTATGTCTTGATGCACATCCATTTTTAATTTTGATGTAATCTAGCTTATTTTTACTTTTGTTGCTTGTGCTTTTGGTATCATAACTAAGTTTTATTTGGTTATGTATGCATGCATACTCCCTGTAGCTTGACTCCAAAACTTGAACATTCTTCCATGTTAAATAGCTGTTATGTATTCCATTTTGGGGGCTTCTCAATTTAAGTAATCACCTGTATTAGTGGGTGTTTTAGGCTGTTTGCAGATTTTTGCAGTTAAAGAGAATTTTGTAATGAACGTCTTTGTACCTGTTGGTGTCCACTTACATGTTTCTGTGAGTTGACTTAGAAATGGAATTACAACATCAAAGGATAGCACATTAAAAATAATTCTGGGGGAAAAAATAAAAAAAATAATAAAAATAATAATTCTGGGGGTACCTGAGTGGCTCAGTCCATTAAATGTCTGACTTTGGCTCAACGTCAGTCTCCTGGAGTTCTGGAGCCTGCTTTTCCCTCTGCCTTTCACCCTGCTTATGCTTTCTCTTTCACTCTATCTCATAGATAGATAGATAGATAGATAGATAGATAGATAGATAAAAATCTATCTTCAAAAAAAATTCTATAGGTACTTCTAAATTGCTTTTCATAGTAGTACATATGAAAAAATTGTTTTGCTCATGCCAGCCAACCATCAAGCAACAGTTTGAATGGAACTCAGAGGCTTATTATGAGAGTACTATGAAGTCATAACTGCTGGCATCCTAAATTGGAAAAAATTTGATCTTTGATGATTGTTGAGCCACTGAACTAATCGCCTCTAGAACTTGCTTACTACCAGACTTGTTATGTAAGAGAATGAATTTCCTGGTTGGTTTTCTGTTCATTAAAACTAAAGCATTGTAAATGAGAACAATGTCAGAACAGGGCCACCTGTTTTTGGAAGGGGATCAGTGACAAATTATTAAATGCCATGGTTGAGAAAATTGGCAGTTGAAGTGATCTTGGGCCATATAGGGGAATACAAATGAAGTGATGTAACTGATTTTGTTCCATAAAGCAGTAATTTTTACTTCCTTTACTAGTTATAAAAATAATTCCTGAGAAAGATGATCTTGGACCATCATTTTATGTCCATAGAAACTGCTGTCTCTGGAGTATTAAAAGATTAGCCTCATCCCCAGGGCCATCCTGAGTTAGAGATGTTTTCCTAGGCTGGGAAGTTGCAGAGGAGACTTGGGGAAAATAAACAAATGAATGCCTCTTCATGGTAGACTATGTTGCTAAACCATAGAGAAAGAAGGTAGATGGTGTGAGTAGAGTAGGGAAGGGAGTATTTTTCCCAAAACAGCCTTCTTGATAAGATACTCAGTTTGGAAGGTGTTTCTTATTTTTCGTTAGTGTCTGCTTTTATTGGATGTTATATGCTAAACAGTGAAGAATGTAAAATTTAGTCCTTGCTTTTGGGGAGGCAGTGA